CTGCTATTCTCCCCTCCTCCTCCTCCTGCTCCTCCTCCTCCTGCAGACACAGCCTCAGGATGAGGTAAGCATCACGCTACCAGCAGCGGTGTATCTTGTTCCTACTGCCGGCCGGGGAATGGCAGAGCATTAAAAGATGGCACAGACCACGATGGTCTTGTTTTCCCCTCATCCCTCCACGACGCGCAGGTGCTCAAGCACAAGGGTCCACAAATCATTCCAGGAATTTTTGTACTGTGTCTCAGCAGTCCCGGCAGCCAGGCTGCTCTGGGGCCATGGCTCTTCTCTGTCTCACCACACTTTCTAAGGAGCAGGAATGTGCGGGCCTGTCCCAGTGGCAGACTCGGTTCCAACAGCAGATGCATCCACTTTGGGAGCAAAGAAGGAAAAGCCCATTTCTCCACATGTAACACACCACGCAGACACAAAACTGCAGACACCGGTCTCAGTGATCTTAGAAGTCTTTTCCAACCTTACAGATTCTATAAAAGGAGAACAAATCTTCCCCATGTGCACAGGAGACACGGCATGAAGCAACAGACTGCAACTGTCATGAGGGAGATTTAGGCAAGAGATCAGAAACACTTCTTGAGACAATGACAGCTTGGCCTGAGGTTAGGAAACATCAGTCATCCATCAGAGGGAAGGGGCTGCAGTGAGTAGTTCCTCTGGAGCCAGGATGCCTGATTTCTCATGATCCCATGCTTCCCTTGCTAGACTGAAAGCATTTTAGGGTAGCACTGTGGGTTTCAATCCTTGCTGGGACAAGAGCCAAGGCACCTCTGGGCATGGCAGCATGCTTGATATCCTAAAGGACATGAAAGTCCTCAAGAAAAATGCTCGGAAAGCACAAAAAAACCCTTTTCTGTGTGTGGGGAGCAGCTGGAGCCACACTGCAGGATTGCTGCCCAGCCCTGACTCCAAACACACTTGTTAGTAGCTTCTACAGCTAAAACTTTGTGATCACCTATGTAACTTACACCAGAGGAGTTTCACGTGGAATCAGGCAGTGAGCTTCCCTGGAGTAATAATGCTCATTTTCCAGAAACAGGCAGCTGGAGCAGTCCCAGAGTGCTGCAGCAAAACAAGCTGGCAGATATTCTGAGAAGTGATGGGCAGCAAGGAGAGTCAAGGCCTCAAAAGGCCACTGAGCAAAGTGAGAGCTGCTCAAGAATTCAGGAAAAAATACCATTAGTGGCAATCAATACGGATTTGTGTAACCTCTGTGCTTTAATGGAGAGAGGAGCCTGGAAAGAGGCAGCAGTGCTGGTGTGCTTTAGCACCTTCAAGAGGCATCCAACTGCTACCTGGCAATTTACGTAAAGAAAATAAAAAGGAAAAATATGGAATTGACACTTGGACCAAAAAAAAAGGCTCAGTACTGGAACCATTGAGTCCCTCATGAACAGGGGACTCAAAAAATATTCTGTTGAGTTATTGCAACTTAAAGAGAACACAACTGAGTTTGTGGAAAGAGGAACTGGAATTCCAGCAGGGGAGATCACCAGCAAAATTGGGAATAACTGGTATAACAGAACTACAGTTCTCAGTGTAACTCTCCATGTTAATTCCTCACAACCTTTTGCAGCAGCTGCCAAAGCACACCAAATCCCTCCAACTTCCCACACAAAACCTGCTCTGTCTGCCTGCTCCCACTTCTCCCAGCAGCCCTTACGGAGGGCAGATCCCACCTGTGCACGGAGCAGGCATGCGCTCCTTTTCCCTCAGCCACCTCCTGATCTCATCAAACCCACAGGAGAACTGGATGCTCAACATCCAGGGACATCGCCCTGTGGTGTTTTTAGGTTCCTAAATGGTATGTTGATAGGTTTATTGAGCCTAAAACCACCCAGCTCTGACTTCAGTGACTAATGAATCCATGTGTGTCAAGGCAGAGCCAAGTGGATCTTCTCCTTGGTGTCCTTGGTGTATTTTCTCATAGGATTTTAATTTGCATCTCTTCTTTGGACAGCACAGGAAGGACTAGGGGCAAAGGACATAACAGAAACAATAAATGGTGAGCAAGTATTTTAAAACATAAGTACTTACACTGATTTAAATCAAGGCCCATAAAGCTTCTATGTTCAATACATGCAGTTTTCATCTGGAGATCGAGGGGGTAGCAGGATGATTCTGACAGAGACAGCCCAGATTTACAGACCTGACAACATGCAAGAGACCCCTCCAAATGGTGTGGACAGACAGATGTGAGTCCAAGGTACGGGCTTGATTTATTGGATATGCAACTATAAAATGATTTACAAATTTATTGGACAAACTTCACTAGATAAATCATAGCATTATTTTCAAATAAAGATAAATCTTATAGAATCGCAGAATCATTTAGGTTGGAAAACACCTCTGAGATCAAGTCCAATCATTAACCCAGCACTGCCAACTCACCACTAACCACTAACCTCAGTAGCCCCTTTCAGCCTGAGAGGCTGGAAAAAATGTTTCTTATTTTAATGAGTAAAATTTTAATAGAATAAGAACTGTATATAGACTACAAAACAATTTCTGTATTCATTTATCAGTTAGAAATAAAATAATTCAAAACATCCATTATAGTAATTTTGACTCTAAAAAAGGAAAAACTAGAAACAGAGAAATGCAATATGTCAACACACTGGATGATTCTTCTCTCTTAGTTCCAAGGTCTGTATGATCCTGGGTCATTGATGGCTCTTGGACAGGCACAAGGCCAACAGCCTTGTTGTTGGAGCACATCATGGCATTCCCACTTGTTTAAACAGACGAGCTTCATATGAGCTCTCAGAGTTTAAAAACAGGAGTGAAAACAATTTCCACCTCCAAGCCTTTGGCCAAGGCAGCTGCCCTTGACTATGGAAATGGTTCTAGTTGATTTTAAGTTTCTTTAATCCAGTGTTTTCTGCTATTGCTGTTCCAAAAATTTTCCTGAAGAAAAAAACACATGAAACCAAACAGTTTAAGAGTTAAAAGTATTAAGTTTAAAAGGAAGATTGAGTTAGTTCAAGTATTTCTCTGCAACTGTCTCTATTACCTCTAGGCAATTAGAACTACAACATATTATTTCTTTTTCTACCTCATTTACCACAAACCCAAAGCAGAACCTGCCAGCGAATCATCTGTGTTCTCTGACCTCGGGTTGCCAACATAGCAAAGACTGAAAATCCAATCGCCATGCCAAAGCTGGGGGCTGCTGCTCCTGCATGCAGCTGTGGCCGCCCAGCTCCTTCTCCAGCCTAACAGAGCCTGAAATCCAACATGAGCACCAGGCAGCTCCCACAGCCTCCCACCAGCTGGTTCTGCTGGCAGAGCAGCCAGCTCTGCTCTCTTTAACCCCTCCCAGAGCCCCTGGAAATCAGAATAGGTTTCCTCAGCAAGTGTTCTGCAAGTTCCCAATGGGGCAGGAAAGAAATGAGGGTTCAACCCTCATTTCCAGAAAAGGAAACCATTGCCAGGCTTGAATACCAGACTTGGGAGAACCGTTGGACTGTGAAAGGAACAGGAGGTGAGGCAGACAGGAGTGGAGACAAGCAGAAACTGCAGCATCCAAAGGTAAACATGAGGAAAAAAAGCAGAATGAAACTGGGAAGGATGCCAAGTGAACAGCTGATGGCCACAAGCGATGAGGATTAAGGTTGTTTTCTTTCTTGCGAGCCAGAGAAGCCCACTGAAGACATGGAGGACGTTCAAGGAGGAAGCTATAGCGGGTGAGATGTGTGAGGATTGAGGGTTGTAAGGGAGTGGATGGAGAGGATGTTGAATTTTGCACGAAAGACACAATCCAGGGAGAACATGGATCTGGCAGACAGCACGAGGTGTGGCATGGAAGAGAAAAAATTCAGTATCTTCCTTTCTGAGTGTGCGCCCATCACAGACAGTGCTGGAAGTAGAGAGAATTGGAGCACAGCTGCAGGGTGAGACCAGGAGTAGGGAGATTTGTGAATCTTTCTCTTGGAGATACACGTCTGGGGTTGCCCAAGGACAGCCGTAGATGGAGAAGGTGAAGTCTGTGACAGGAAGGTGCAAAAAGGAGAGGAGCCTAAAGGTTGAAAGGTGAGGGATGAGCCATGACCTCCCTAGGCATGTTCTGCACAAGTGGAGAGTCCAGAGGAATGGATGGGGAGTTCATCACAGCACAAGCGAGCCTGGTGACACCAGTGCTGACAAAGGCCCAGGGAGCAGTAGCTGAGTTTCATCTCACCACACAGGAGTGCTATGAACACAAGGGTGTAGAATTAAATAACAGCTGCTTAAAGTCAGGAGCCAAAGGAAAAGAGCACTATGCAGTAACAAGGTTGAGACCAACAAGAAAAGAAACAGTCAAAGTCACTAGCAAAGGGAGTCCCCAAACACAGGCTGACAAGGGTGTACATAAGTACAAGATTCCCCTTCAAAAATAATTTCAAGCTTTGCTAGGAAAGACAAGACTGGATACAGTTTAATTTATGTTGCTAAAGGATGAATTTATCTTCCCATAAAAATGATGAAAAATACTTCTGCTGTCACTATTCATGATGCAGAGGAAATGGAAAAGGTTGTGGCCCACTGTGCCCCACAATGTACCTCTCCGGGCATCACTTCTATGCGGCAGTTTGTGAGTACACCCAGAGAAAGTGCCCCTTTAGTTTACTTACAGATGCTCTGAATCCTGACCTTGACATTGAAGCCTGTATTGCTCCCAGAATCCTGCTCTCTGTCAGCGGGAATTCTAATTTCAAAAATATTTACAGTTAAACAGAAGCATGGCCATGACCTTGTGATTATAAAACACAACCTGGTCTAGCGGAAGGTGTCCCTATGTGTGGCACGGGGTGCGGCTGGATGGGCTTTACGGTTCCTTACAACCCAAACGACTCAGTGACTGTGTGGCTGTGGTTCGGGCTCAGGGTGACGGAGGGGACAGCCCGCCCAGCTCACTGCGGCCCGCTCCGCCCGCCGCCATCTCCGGCCAGGCCGCGCCGCTGCCATGGCAACGGGGGCGGGGCCGGGCCGCAGTGCCGGGGGTGCCCCCCACCCTCCGAGTCCTCCGTTCCTCGCGAGTGTCCGCCAACCCCGCACCCCGTGGCCTCTGTCCCCGCTCCGTGTCTGCCTTTCCCCCTCCGTGCCGACATGCCGGGCTCGCCCTGCGGGCTCCTGCTCGACTACAAGACGGCCAAGTTCTCGCTGACGCGGAACCGGCGGGTGGGGCTCCTGCACCGGCTGCTGCAGCTGAGCGCGCTGGGCTACCTGCTGGGGTAGGGACCCCCCCCGACCCTGCCCTCGGGGGGCGGCCGGGGGTTCCTGCTGGGGTAGGGACCCCCCCGCCCCTGCCCTCGGGGGGCGGCCGGGGGTCCCTCAGTGTCCGCCCCTCTCCCCCCCCCCCGCAGGTGGGTGCTGCTGCTGCGGAAGGGGTACCAGGAGCGCGACGCGGCCCCGCGTGTCGCCGTGGTCACCAAGGTGAAGGGAGCGGCTCCCGCCGGGGCCGCGGGCCGGCGGCTCTGGGACGCGGCGGATCTCACCTGGCCCCCGCAGGTACGGCCGGGCCCCGGGCGGGGGCAGGGGGGGCACACAGGAGTTCAGTCCCCTTGGCAAGGGAACGCCGCCGGTACCATTGGCCTCCCAAAGCCCAAATGTGGCCATTACTGCCTGTTCCTCCCGGTGACAGTGTCACAGGGTATCCCCTGGACCCACCCTCCTCACTGATGGTACCTTCTTGCTTCCCAGGGAGAAAATGTGCTTTTTCTGGTGACCAATTTCATTGCCACAGCCCAGCAGGCCCAGGGCACCTGTCCCGAGGTGAGTGCCAGGGCTGCCCCAGCCCAGTCCCCAGGGGGTGGTGGATGGAGCCATCTGTCCCGCTCCTCGGTGGAACCCAGAGGAAGACCAGATAAAAGGGGAAAATGGATTTATATTCCCAACAAACCTGATTCCCCTCATTCTCACTGCTCCATAGCTCTTCCATGCTCATCTGCACTTGCTCTGTCATGCCTGCATGAGCCAAGGTGTATATCCATGCTCTCTGGCCAGAACTGCTTGTGGTGACCAGGACAAAGAACACTTGGGGCCTCACCAGCTCTGGGCTCCTTGGGTGGTGGCACTGTATGACCATTCCAGGCTTTCTGCTGCCCTCGAACAAGGGGATGCTCTGACACACAGTCCATGGATACCTGTGTCATGTTTCCTTGATAACTCCTTGCTACAGGACTAATGTCCATCTTAGCATCCTGGTTTTAGGAGGAACAAAACACAAGGTCTAGGTGGTTTCCCAGCCAGCCAACACTTAGTGGTATATGTTCTCTGAGAGAAGTCTTCCCTTTAAGACTGGAGTCAGGCCAGCTCCCTCCACTGAGCTCTCCCAGGCTGGACCTGGCTTGGTAGATGGGAGCAAATGTCCTTTAAGCTGAGCCACTCCTGGCACCTTGTGCCTGAGCCAAGCACTGATTGTCCTAATGGTCCCTTCAGCTCCTGCTGTGGCCAGATACTGTGGGAGAGGAGGAGCAACCCTGGTTTTGGGTCAGGGAAAATGGCACTAATGATCCATCTTTAAAATGCTGACAACTCCTGAAGTCCTGACAGGGAGGAAGACAAGTGCTGTAGGGCATTTTAGGGCTCTCACAGGCAGCCACAGGCATCTCTCAGTGCTAGTTTTGCAGTGTGAAAGCCAAGGACACAGAGAGCAGAGGATTTTGTCCCGTTCCAGTGCTGGAGTGTGTGTGGGTGCCTGTCCCAGCCTGCACCCCATGCTGATCTCCTCAGGTTTTGGCTTTGGGGCTGTAGGTGACATTCACATTTGAAAAGCTTTGAAGATTTAGCAGTGACATCTTTTGGCTTTGCAGGGAGTTAGAGCAGTCTGAATATTCTCTGACTGTTCTTGATGACCAAAGTATTCGGTGCTGGCAGATCAGTGTGTCTGGGGCCAGAAGCAGCACTAAAAACAAGCTGAGCTGTTTTAGCAGCTGTACACGCAGTTACTCCTTGCATCCTTTTATCCCTCTATTTTCCAATGTTTGTTCCTTTTCAGACCACCTAGTTCCCTCCTTTCCATGCCTTCTCTTCCTTCCCTAAACAACCCATCCCCTAAAACACCTGTGCAATACCCAAATGTTCTCCTGCATCCCATAATGACTCTATACCCCTAGGCAGTGAGCCCCCACCCAGCCCAAAGGTGCTGCTCCTCTTGGCTCATGTTAGTGGGTTTCACACCTAAACAAGAGGCTGAGGCTGTCCTGTGGCAGCCCTGGGAAGGCCTGGACAGACCCTCACTTCTTCTGACTCCATAACTGGGGATCCCCTGCCTGCATTTGAGCCTCTGTGCCCCCTGGGTCTTGGGGAGGTGGGTTTCTAATGGGCTAATGACTCCTGCCATGGCCTGGGGTAGCTGGAGAAGGTGTTAGTGGTATTCCCCCACCTGCCATCATCTCTCTGTGTTTGAATAAGAGGTTTTTACTGCTCCTGGGAACCAGGTAGGTCCAGAGTGAGGGTGAAGCTTTCCCTGTCTCTTGTAAAACTTGTGTTATGCTGGATTTAGGTCTACTAAGCTCTTCCCCAGGGCATTTGTTGTATTGCTTTACAAGGTGCTTAATGGGCTCAGTCATTGAGGCCCTCGTGCTGGTTCCCAGTTCCAGCTGAAAGGTCTGAGTTAGCTCTGGAGGATTCCTCTGCCTCTGAGGAGCAGGAGACATGTGCTCCCAATAGCATGGAGACAGGCGGGAAGGATCGTCCCTCAGACATGCCTCTCTCCTCATTGGCTGGAGGCTGTCCAGGGTCTGGACATGGTGAATGGTCTTTAACTGTTTAGGAAGTGCTTGGAGAAATGGGAATAGAGGCACAGCAATGGGGGTAAGTGACAGCATGGCCTCAGGTGGCTGCACAGCACAATGACAGCACTTGTCTCTTGTCCCTCACAGAGCCCCTCTGTCCTTGACGCGATGTGCACAGAAGATGCAGATTGTCCCATGGGAAACCCTGTGGTTCATGGCAATGGTACTGGGAGTTTTGCTTAATAAACATAAAATCCTAGAATGGTTTGGGTTGAAAGAGAACTTAAAGCTCATCCAGTCCCACTCTCCTGCCGTGGCAGGGACACTAGCCCAGATTGCTCCAAGCTCCATCCAACCTGGCCTTGGACACTTCCAGAGATGGGGCAGCCACAACTGCTCTGGCCAGCCTGTGCCAGGGCCTCACCACCCTCACAGGGGAGAATATCCCATCTAACCCTGCCCTCTGGCAGTGGGAAGCCATTCCCCCTTGTCCTGTCATTCCAGACTGTTGTCCCAAGTCCCTCTCCAGCTTTCTTGGAGCCCATTTAGGCCCTGGAAGAGGCTCTAAGGTCTCCCTGGAGGCTTCTCTTCTCCAGGCTGATGAACCCCAACTCTCTCAGCCTATCTTAAATTCTCATTTTTAGGGATAAAAACTGGGAAATGTGTGATGTTCAATGCCACCTGTTCCACCTGTGAGATCTATGGCTGGTGTCCTGTGGAGAACAGTACCCTACCCAGGTAATCACAGATAAGGGGATAGCAGGTATTGGGAGCTTTGATTTCTTCCCTCTGTCTAACCAGGAGCCTGACCCTGAGACTCGCCCAAGGGCAGCTGTGTTCAGGGAGACCTTTGACATCAGTCTCCCAGTCAGTTAAGGTCAGAGAACTTTACACAAGAGCGTTTCTTGCAGCTGTCCATTGTGGCCAAAATTTTGGGATTGCGGATGAGACTGTGGAACTTGGGGAATGGGGCTGTGCCTTGGCCACTGTGCAAGACTTGAGTTCATTGGTGGTTGTTTTCCAGGAAACCTCTTCTGGCTGAGGCGGAGAATTTCACTCTCTTTATAAAAAACACTGTCCACTTCACCAAATTTAACTTCTCCAAGTAAGTACGGTGCTTCCCAGCCAGCCTGAGCCCAGTCCAGCCTCAGCACTGAGCCTACCTGTCATGGGGCTGAGCACCTGAGGCTTTGTGAAGCCATGTGCCACCCAGGACAGGTGGTGCTGGGCAATTACAGGCAGGATGGATGTTCAGGTGAACACCCTATGTGTGCAGCTGTAAAAGCGGTGGGATGGGGACACCTCAGAGAGAGGGACTGGTCATGCCCATGTAGAGCACTGCAGAAAGCTGGACTAGGCCATCCAAGGAGTGAGACTAATATTTTTGCCTTAGTCCTTGCAAAGTGGTTTCACAGAAGCCAGGTAAAGGGCTGCACTGGCCTCACAGCCCCAGGCATGCTGACTGTGCTGTCTTACCCTGGCAGAAGATGCAGTGTGGGGCAGCTGAACTGTCCCTGCTGTCACCCCTGGAGCACTGAGTCAAGCTGGGTGGGAGCTGGGTGCTGGGGGAGAAAGAAGAAACACAGGGAGGTACAGGGGAAGGCTATGGCAGATGCTATAAAAGATGAATACTCTCTGTGATTCCTCTGGGATGGTTTTACTCCACCCTCTCTCCATCTGAGGCTTTAGGCAAGGCAATGACTTTCCCCCCACTGAGAGCACTGGGGGGCCCACTCCAGCAGGAGGGTCCCCTTTTCAGTCCCACAGACAGGCTCTATGACCTCCCACACTCCGTCCCCCCGCCCCTGCTGTCTCAGGTGCAACACTTTACAAACCAGTGACCCCAGCTATTTCAAGAGCTGCACGTATGATCCAGTCTTCAACCCCTCCTGTCCTGTGTTCCGTGTACGTAACATGGTGGAGGCAGCTGGAGAGCACTTCGGAGACCTCGCACTGCTGGTACTTGGTTTTTATAGAAGTATGGAAGATGACTCAAAATTCCCCAAGGATGTGAGCAAGAGGCAGAGGACAGGACTAACCCTGAAATGCTAAGGGAATGTATGATCTAGGAATGTCTGAACAGTAAAGAACTCAGCCAGTTTCTGATCCCATGCTTCTCCTGGAGTAAAATGTGTTTTGCAGGGGGGAAGCATTGGAGTTCTCATCAAGTGGGACTGTGACCTGGACCACCCTGCTGCCCAGTGCCAGCCACAGTATTTCTTCAGCCTGCAGGACACAAGGTACAATTTCAGGTGAGGATGCTGAGACAGTGGCCACATGGGGCTGTGGGATGAGGACACTGTAGTCATTTGAGATCTCAGTTCTGATGGGTGCTCTGAAAGGACCAGCAGGGGCACAGTTTGCAGGTGTCATTTGCAAACTCACCTTCACTCGGTTCACCAGTCTGGGTGGGAGTGTTGGTCTCCTGGAGGGCAGGAGGCTCTGCAGAGGGATCTGGACAAGCTGGATCCATGGGGTGAGGCCAGTGGTGTGAGGTTCAACAAGGCCAAGTACCGGGTCCTGCATTCGGGTAACAACAACGCCATGGAATGCTACAGGCTGGGGGCAGAGTGGCTGGAAAGCTGCAGGCAGAAAAGGACCTGGAGGTGAACGTGAGCCCAGGTGGGTAAGGCAAAGGACACCTGGACTGTACCAGCAATGGTGTGGCAGCAGGACCAGGGAGTGACTCTCCTCCTGTCAAGAAAGACATTGAGGGGCTGGAGCATGTCCAGAGGTGGGCAGGAGAGCTGTGGAAAGGTCTGGAGCACAAGCCTGATGAGCGGCTAAGGGAGCTGAAGGGGCTCAGCTTGGAGAAAGGGAGGCTCAGGGGGGACATTCTCACTCTCTACAACTCTCTGATGGGAGGGTGGAGCCCGGTGAGGGTTGGGCTCTGCTCCCAAGTAACAATAGACAGGACGAGAGGAAACAGCCTCAAGTTGTACTAAAGGAGGTTTAGATTGGGTATTTGGGAAAATTCTTCACAAAAAGGGCTGTCCAGCCCGGCAGAGGCTGCCCAGGGTGGTGGATTCCCCATCCCTGGAGGGACTTAAAGGCTGTGTAGTTGTGGCACTTGGGGATATGGGTTAGTGGAGAACATGGTGGTGCTGGGTTAAGGGTTGGACTTGATGATCTTAGAGGGCTTTTCAGCCGGAATGGTTCTGTGATTCCAAGACGATAGGAAATGGTAAATCAGGGTAGGGCCTGTTAGTACCAGGATGCTATGGCAGATCTGCTGTGTTTGGAGCTATGCTTGGCATTACCTCCCTGAGGCAGGGTTCTCTGGCTGTCCACACCTGAACTGGGTGCACTGGGAGCTGTGTTTTCCCAGACTGGGTGCTGAGGGGATGCAGATGCCCCACTGCTGATGCCAGCCAGTGAGTCGTGGCAACATGTGTATCACCCAGGTCCCAACCTGGAGGACGCCAGGTGTGCACAGGTACACAGTAGCCCCAGCAATTCTTTGGCACTGGCAGCCCACTTCCCTCACTGCTTTCTGAGGTGTGTCCAATGTCTCCCACAGAACTGCCTCTTACTACTGGGGCTCCCAGCGGCAGCTCTACCGGAACCTGCTGAAGCTTTATGGTCTCCGCTTCGACATCTCCGTGCACGGCCAGGTACTGTGTCCTGCGCAGCCCCAGCAGCCCCCAGGGCTGACTCCTCCCACCACTGCCCTCTGCTCTCCTGCAACCACCCCTGTGGCTTCCTGCTGCTGTTGCTTCTTCCCATCCTGGTGAGCTCTTCACCTCTTCCCAGAGTTTTCCAAGTAGAGTGGGAGAAAATGATCTCTTTCATTTAAAGAAAAACCTCTTGGTTATTCCCTGAACAGAGAGGCTTCCCTCCCTGAGGGTCTGACACAGAGGCTGTGAAATGTTGTGTAGGTAAGGTGAGCTGGTCGGGGTCTATGGGCATCTCTGAGGGTCTTGAGGGGGAAGCACCCTGCCAAAGGACAACCTGAACTCTTCTGAACCTGGACAATTAATCCCCTTTTGATTAATTGTACCCTCAGGGACAAAAGGTGTGGGCATGATCATGCCTAGACATGGCCCAGCCATGTGAGCTGAGAGCCCTGAAACCTCCAGTGTCCTGGGCTCCTCCCACAGCATGGGCAGTAGATGAGAGAAGGATTCTGCCCCTCTGCCCTGCTCAGGTGAGACTCCACCTGCAGAGCTGCTTCCAGGTCTGCGGTCCCTAACATAACAAGAACATGGAGCTGCTGGAGCAAGTCCAGAGGAGGCCACAGAGATGTTCTGGGGCTGGAGCCCCTCTGCTCTGGAGACAGGCTGGGAGAGCTGGGGGTGTTCACCTGGAGAAGAGAAGGCTCCAGGGAGACCTTAGAGTCCCTTCCAGTGCCTAAAGGGGCTCCAAGAGAACTAGAGAGGGACTTTGGACAACAACCTGGAGTGACAGGATCAGGAGGAATGGCTTCCCACTGCCAGAGGGCAGGGTTAGATGAGATATTGGGAAGGAATTGTTCCCTGTGAGGGTGAGGAGGCCCTGGCCCAGGTTGCCCAGAGAAGCTGTGGCTGCCCCATCCCTGCAAGTGTCCAAGGCCAGGCTGGACAGGGCTTGGAGCAACCTGGTCTAGTGAAAGGTGTCTGTGTCCATGGTAGAGGGGTGGAATGAGATGACCCAAACCTTTCCATGGTTTTGTGATCGCTGTCACTACTCTGTGCAGCATCACTGACACACAGTGCTCAGCTGTGCAAGAAGGAGTCTGTACTGAGAGCTCTTGGCACCCTGAGAGATGTCCACAGCTGGACTGTCATGCTCAGCAGCACCCTTTGCACCTGAAGAAGGTGAAGCACACATCATAGGACAGGATGCACCACTTCTGGGTAGTGAGGGCAGGTCCAGCAGCAGGAGAGAAAGCTGAGAGAGAGACTGTAACCCCAAAATCTCTCCCCCCACAGACCACCAGACTCATTTGAGCAGAGAGGGACACATCGCATCAGGGCCACGTTTACTGGGATATGGTTCCATGGGTGGCAGCTGCAGCAAGAGGGAGGCTCCTGCCATGCCTGGGGGAGCAGGTGGGTCACAGTAACTTCTGCTGCCACCAGGTCGCCAGCTGTCAGTTCCTTCTTTGACAGCCAAAGGGGCTTGGAGTCAGTGCAACAGCAATTCCTAGAGTTGGGCATGGAGAAATGTTCCTGGATCCCTCCTGCACACCCCAACTTTGTAGGAGGCGTGTCCAGGAGTGCAGGGGACGCACGGAGGGCAGGGAAGCCCAGGGGACACGCACTGAAATAGACAACCCCATTGGTCACAAGGTCACATGGTTTTAAGGGATAAAAAGGGTGCTGAGTTTGAATTAAAGCCTCTTTGATTACCATCTGATCAGGGAGCAGACTCCATTTCTTTATCATATAAAGACTCCACGTTACACAACTTTAAGCACACTGCCCCACAGCCCACACCCCTCTCATCACTCTCTACCCACTGTCTTCCCTCTCCACTATTTCTCACCAGGCTGGGAAGTTCAGCATCATTCCTACTGCCGTGAGCTTCGGCACAAGCATTGCCTTCTTTGGTGCTGTGAGTACTCCAGATATGCTCTTTTCCTTTAATCCATGGCTTGGGATTTGCCACTCATCAGTTGTTTCCCTGCCTGCCTGGGCACAAGGCTTCCTGGGTGCCGGTCAGCATGAACAGGAGATGGTCTGGCAGGGTGTCAGCTCCCGTTTCCCTGTGACCATTAACAGTAATGACAGCACTGGGATCCTGAGCACTGTCAGGGTCATGTCTCGTGGAGGCCGGGTGTTTGTGTGGGCCCTGGGAAGGAGCATCGCTGGGATGCTGCTGGCAGGGGAGAGCAGCTCCTCTCTCTGCTTCTCCCCTGACTCTCAAGTGACCTGGTGTCCTGTCACCAGATGGGGTAGCTCCTCATAGAGCCCTTATATGGCTCATCCCTTCCAGCAGGTAACTGGAAGGGAGCCTGAGGTCCCCCACCTGCCCTCTCTTTCATCCCTAACATGCTCATCCCAGTCCATACACAGCTGTGAGGGTACTGGAAGAGCACTCCCTGTGTCCATCCATTGCAGCCCAGGTGATCCTGTCTGACCTCCTGTGCAGCTCATGGGAGTCTGCTGGGTCAGAGAGGAGCCATTGGAGTTGGCAGGTGACCTTGCTGGAGGCAGGGCCGGCTCGCTGCCCTCAGCACTGGCCCACAACCAGCTGCGGGGCTCAGTGGGAGCCAGGGTGGAGGGCTAGACATTCCAGTGGAAAGTTTCCCTGCATACAGTCTTCAACATCTGTTTGTCTCCAGGCTACAGTGGTCTGTGACCTAGTTCTGCTCTACCTGGATGCAAAGGCTGACCTGTATTGGAAGGAGAAGTTTGAGGAGGTAAGGGTGGGACCACATGGGAGAGAGAAGGTTGGAGTGAAGGTTTTTGGAGTGAATAATTTTGTGATTTTCTGCCCCTTGGTTAAAACTGAGTTCACAAGATCTGGGAAGATCCTGGTGGAGCAGCTCTTAGTCTCCAGCTTTTGGGCTTGATGGCTGATCTGAACTGGGAGAGGGATGCACCTGGTACCAGGACTCAGGGAAAGCTGCATCACAACCTCAGTTCCTGTTGGACAAAAAGGGGTCCCCATGGGGACCTTACTTGGAAATGTGACCCAGCTCCACACTCATTCTTCTTCCAAAGGGAATCTGGCTGGACTCCATGCAGAGAGAGGGCAGCTCTTCAAAGCACATCCTGTGCTGCAGTTCAGTGATAGATTTTCATGCCTCACATGATTCCTGCTGTGGGAATTCACTTCCTTGGTAAATCAGTGAGTCACAGGGAGGCCTCCACAGAGCAGGAGAGCTGCCAGCCCTGCCTCAGTTCATCTCCAGCTTTGTCTGGCCAAGTCTTTGGAGCTTCTGAGGACTGAGATCCACCAGCTCCTGGTGAACTGCCCCAGGGCTGCACCATCCTGCTGGTGGAGAATGTTCCTCATGCCAGATCTCAAATCAGGAGCGGAGTGGGAGTCTCAGAGAGTGAATCTGTTCTCATGGGACCAAGGAGAGCAGTGCAGGTCCACCTGGGCCATCCCCGTGCCTGTTGTACTGTTACCCCTGTTCATTTTTCAGGCAAAACCCCCTAAAGGTAAGCCTGAGGCCTCAGCTTATGGACATCGGGAATGCTCCACCACAAGCACCCTTCCCTCCAGAGCCACCTCCAGGTAGACATGATGGGGGCATGGCTGCGGCCCAGGTGGAGGTGGGCCAATCCTGGCCCAGGTGTGCACTGCTGGGGTTAGAGTCTGCCTTTCCTGGAGAAACATTGGCAGCGGCAGCAGCAGCAGTTCTTGGCTCTTGGAACACAAAGCCATCCCAGCTGCCACTCCCAGCACTGATAACTGGTGCCAGAGGAGAGCTGTGCTGGGCAAAAGAGGCTTAAAGCACTTTATGTTTCTCTGCATTCTGATGGCTGTAGGCTTTGATTTCCCATGAAAACCAGAGATGCAATGGAATAAAGCTGTTCCAAAAGTGGGAGATAGCTCTGCTCTGTCTCAAGCCCTGCGAGTGGCTGTCAAGTTTTGGGATGCTGCTCTCGCACCTCGCAGCACCCTGCATGCTTCCAGCTGGGATGGCTTCATGTGAGCTGCCCAGATCCTCAGGAGATCCCTGGGAAGCTCAGAGAGGATTTAAGAGCCCAGTTGAAGGCTCCAGCCCTGAGCTGGTACTTCCTGGGGGGTGCAGTGGCTTCTGCACCCCCAGTTCCTGCCTCCTGCCAGGGCTGATGCTCAGCAAGGACAGGCACAGCCCTGGGGCAAGCTGGAGTGTTTCAGAGGTGCTGACCCCTCACTCCCACCTGCCTCGGGCTGTATCAGCCTGGTGCAGGGCAGGGTTTGTCCAGGTCTGTGCCCAGGGACTGCTCTGTGAACTCCACAAGGCTCAAAAACACAGTATCTGTGGGTTCAAGCACCATTTAATGCTCCCTACTGGGACTGACTGGGTGGTTTGGAGGGGTCCTGCAGCATCACCCCACCTCAGCTGCCTGTGTCCCCTGGCTGGCCCCTCCTGCCCTCCTGGAAATGCTGCAGGTAGAACTGTGCCGCCAGCTGCTTGGTCATGGTTTTCAGTGCCAGGAAGGCAGCCACGATCTCAGCAAGGAGGAAGGCCAGGAACAGGCTGTGCATGGGCATCTCCAGTGGCAAGTGAATGACCTGGCTGTCTGTCAGCAGGAAGAGCAGGAGGGGCAGCTGGATCAGGAAGGAGAGTAGCAGGAACCCAGCCAGCTCAGGCACCTGTAGGAGCAGAACCTGCTGAGATGGGATAAGGAGGCAGCGGTGGGATGGGGGGACCCTCTGTGACCCAGGAGCTCCCTGCATCATTGCCAGTCTTGGCATGCAGGTATCGGGGACGTCCTTGCCACGCAGAGCTGTGGTCGGATGTGGTGAGATGCTGTCAAACCCAGTGCTGGAGGGTTGCACCCACAGGAAGGATACAGCAGGAGGGCGAGTGGATCTCCTTTGTCTCCTGCCTTCAGGTCCTGCCTGCACCCATCATTCCCTCCTGGGACAACTCCAGGAGGAAGGGGCAGTGATGGGCACTTGGGTTCCAAGTGAGGGGCCATCAAGCTCCCCCAGCTGGGCTGACCCTCACTGAGTATAAGGGGTTTGTGTGCCAGGGCAGGTGGTGTTTACCTTCTCCTGGAGATTGCCCAGGTAGCCCAGGTAGAGTCGGGAGCCCTCAGCCAGCGAGAGAATGAGGAAGGCTGTGACCAGCAGGAACTGGTAGTGCCAAGGCAGGAGGTGGTACTGTAATGGGGGCACAGCCTTGTCCCAGTCAGCTCCAGCCCCTGCACCCCAGTCCAGCTGTCCATGCCCAGTTTCCCATCCCCTGTGCACCATTCCCTGTGCTCAATTCCCAGATACCTGTGCCCTTCTCCCATCCCATTTGCCCTGTCCCCTGCACCTCATGCTCAGTGCCTGGGCCCTCCTCCCCATACCCAGTGCTCCATTCTCTGCCAGCTGGTGCTCGGCTGACACCAGGCTGGTGCTCAGCTCTGCCCACTTTTCTCTCCCAGTTTAACCTTTCCTGCCTGGAAAGTTCATGATTTCCATTTCAGGCAGCCAGAGATGAGCCATCTTGTCTCATGGGGGTCAGGGCATTTTGGAGACCCATTAATTCTGAAGAGGCTCCCCTGTCCCCTGTTCACTGTTTCTCCCCTATGACAAGGGAGGCTGGGCAGGAGCAGCTCCCCCCTCCCCATGTGCCCCATGGGACAGTACCTTCAGCTGCAGCATCATTCCCTCAGCCAGGCACCAGACGGGGAAGTAGTAGACGTTGAAATAGAGCATCACCTGGAGGGGCAGGCTGGCCAGCACCTCGTGGGCTAGGCAGGATGGGCAGGGGTGGGCAGGCTGCTCAGCAACTCTGGTGTCCCCCTATTCAGAGGGACCCCCACTTGCAGCTCTTGGAGTGGAGCAATAGCCCTTGGGTACCACAAACAGCTCTTTGCAGCAAATGTTCTTATTTTTGCTCCCCTCCTTGGTGGGGGAGGTACAGAGACCCGTTGGGTGCTCCTGGCTCTGAGGCACCCAGGTGCTTTGGTGATGTGCTGAGCACGCTCGTAGTGGTAACCCCCTCCCCAAATCCCCCTCCGCAGAGCCCCACTGCCCATACCTGGCTGGTAGATGTGGGCAGTGCCGCTATCCTGTGTCTTATTGGTGATGAAGAGGGAGCCGCTGAACGCCACCAAGCCCCGGCGCAGGTTGGGGGGCAGCGGGGTGTGCGCAGCCATGGCTGACAGCTGAGCCCTGCTTGCCCCAGCCCCTGGCTCAGCCAGGATTAGCCAGGAGGGAATCAGTGGGATGACAGGTCAGGCTAATGCGCGGGGCCACCTGACCATTGGCTCGCTGGGAACAGGGCTGGGAGGGGGATGTGGGGAAGAACTGCCAACTTGGAACATCAAGCCTACATGGCAATCACAGGGTGGAGTTGCAAAGGAGTCACAAGTCAAAAGCATCTCCCCTCCACAGCACCTTTAGGGGGTGAGCAGCAGGTTGTAACCATCACCATGACAGGGACACAGCGGTAAACTAAGCAACTGCGCCCTCTCCCAGCCAGGCTATGTCAGTGTAATTACTGCTCAAAGCCCCCTGACAGAGGAGGATGCCACACAAAAGAATGCTGCTCTTCACCTGTAAGGCTTCTTCGAGGCCTCCAGGCTCATGGAGCATTTACCCATCCCCGTGATCTCCCCTGCTAACAGGCTGCCCTCGTAGACCTCCACGCTGCTCAGTGTCCCAAGGCTCCATCCAGGCTCAGGCAGTGGGGGATGGTGTTGGTTCAGCCAGAGGTGAATGGCAGGGAAAGGAGATGGCACTGCGGGGACTTCAACTTTAAAATAACAGGATCATTAAGGTCGGAAAAGTCCTCTAAGACCAATAAGTGCAACCAATTAACCCTGCAATGCCAGGTATCCCACTAAACCATGTCCCCAAGTCCAACATCTACAAATTTTTTTAACACTTCCAGGGATGGAGGCTCCACCACTGCCCTGGGCAGCCTGTGAAAGGGCTGGACAACCCTTTCCATAAAGAAATTTTCCCTAATATCCAACCTAAACATCCCCTGGTGCAACCTGAGGCCATTTCCTCTCACCCGGCCAGTTGTTATTGGGGAGCAGAGCCTGACCACCATCTGGCTCCACCCTCCTTTCATGGAGCTGGAGACAGCAAGAAGGTCACCCATGAGCCTCCTTTTCTCTGGGCTGAGCACTCCCAGCTCTCTCAGCCACTCCTCATCAGACTTGTGCTCCAGACCCTTCCACAGCTTGGTTGCCCTTCTCTGGACACGCTCTGTAAGTGTTAGTCCTACCCAACATATGTGGTCTCATGTCATGGTCTTCAGCCTCCAACCCACCCCATAATGCACATCAGAGAAGCTGCCTCAAATAGTGGGAGTGAATGCTGTAAATGTGGTCTTTGAGGGCCAGGCACTGGCAAGGGACACAAGAAACCAAAGAAAGAGAGGGTTCTTCTGCTTGATAAAGCCAAAATGAAATTGTAGAGCTCCCTGCCATATGCTGCCAAAACCAAACCATCCGGGGCTGAAAGTGTAGTAGACCAATGCCTGACTGACTGAAGTCATCGGATCATAGAATCACAGACTTGTTTGGGTTGGAAGGGACCTTAAAAACCATCTTGTTCCACTCCCTTCCACTAGACCAGGTTGCTCCAAGCCCCATCCAACCCAGCCTTGGACACTTGCAGGGATGGGGCAGCTACAGCTTCTCTGGGCAACCTGGGCCAGGGCCTCCCCACCCTCACAGGGAACAATTCCTTCCCAATATCCCATCTAACCCTGCCCTCTGGCAGTGGGAAGCCATTCCCCCTCATCCTGTCACTCCAGGCTGTTGTTCAGAGTCCCTCTCCAGCTTTCTTGGAGCCCCTTTAGGCACTGGAAGGGACTCTAAGGTCTCCCTGGAGCCTTCTCTTCTCCAGGTGAATACCCCCAGCTCTCCCAGCCTGGCTCCAGAGCAGAGGGGCTCCAGCCCTCAGAGCATCTCTATGGCCTCCTCTAGACTTGCTCCAGCAGCTCCATGTCCGTCCTCTGCTGAGGACCCCCGAGCTGGATGCAATACTCCAGGTGGGCTCTCACCTGAGTGGAGTAGAGGCAAAGCCCCAGGCATGCTGTGCCCAACATATGTCTACCCAGGGGTCCTGCCAGCACACAGGGCAAGACATGGGCAGGGCAACAGGCACAGCCCAGTATCTAAGGAGTAGGAGCTGCTGGAGAGCTCACATCTGCACAGGCAAGCAGGGTGAGCAACCAAGAAGATACCTCGGCAGTCTGGTGAAAGTAACTGTGATGGGGCAATGCAGCTGGGGGTCACTAACAAGCTGCCTGTGTCCCAGCTGGATTCTCATTCCTCATGGGAACGGGCAGTTTTGTAAGGAGAGATGGAAACTTTCTGTCCTGGTATGAGAGGTTGCAAGATGTGCCTGGAGAGGTGGCAGAGAAGACAACCCAGCCTTGTCCAGCTCCAGGACAGGCTCACCACCGGGAAGCATTTGCCGAGGCACTGGACAAGGGCTCCCAGGTTCAACACCATCCCACACCACTGCAGAGTGGAAATGTCCATCTTCTGTGGATCCAGCAGACACACAATGGTCCCTGTTCACTGCTGTGTGCTGGAGCCTGCACATCCTGCCTACCCCACCCCCCGGTCATTCCACCTGGGAAAAGCCTTGCAGTGAAACCAGAGAGACACTGGTGACATTTCTATCCAGCCAAGATCTGAAAGACTGGAAATAAATAACAGGTGAGATGGACACAGGTGGGAAGCCTCCAGAGAGGAGGTACTTGAATCCCCTGGTGAACCTGCAGAGTTTTCCCAAGGTCTTGGAAGGAATCAGAAACTACCCAGATCCCAAGAATAGTATTGCTTTAATTCATAGGGGGCTAATCAAATTAAAAATATAAATCCTCTTGTTTTGGACTCAGGGTAAAACACTGACTGCTGGGGAAGGAGTCGCCCCCAGGACAAAGCACTGGAAGCTCTCTGAGGAGATCCTCACCCTCCCACTCTGTTGGGTTGACAGACACAGGGCTGTGGCTGGCCAGGTCCACTCCCGAGCTGGAGACACAGCTCTTCTTCAGCAAGGGCAAGAGACAGGACAGCAGAGCACTTGCATGGTGGGCTGAGAAATGCAGCCTTGTCACTAGACGACAGAACAGACAAGTAACGCCTCAGCAGCAGCAGCACCAATCCCATGATGTCATCAAGGAGAGACATCCCAAGGCTGGCTGGAAGGGTGGCCACCAAGTCCAAGGCTGCAGCTGAGCTGCTTTCCCAGCTCTCCAGGGACTCCAACTCCACACCCTGGGGGTGGACCAAGAGCTGCAGGTGCTGGGATGGGACCAATGAGCTCCAGAGCCCTCAGCATGGGCAGGGACCCACCTCTGCTGGGGGAGACTGGGCAGGATCAGCCTGGACCACCCAATCACAGGCTGAACAGAGACCACCCGGTGTGACCCCACCTCCTGGCCCACCCAGATGCCCCCTAGAGTGGGTGAGCACAGGCAGAGCCGTGGCAAACCCTGCAGCCACGCAAGGAGGGAGCAGATGTCAGGCTCTGTGGGGATGCACATCAGAACTGTGCTGGGAGCGAAGAGAATTCGGGAAGGAGCATCATGCATGAAAGCACAGGAGCACCCAAAGGCACTCATGCTGCTTACAGAGGTGAGGGACGTGCATGGGGCAGATCCACCTGGAGACCCTCAGCCCAATGGCAGCATCTGGAGCCACGCGGCACCAATGCCCATTGCCACGGCCAAACCCCACAGTCTCTGAGGCTGCTTTTCCAGTCCCACGGGAATTGCAATAACAGAGCCCTAGCCCAGCAAGCACCGGGGCAGAGGTGCCATGGGAGGTCCTCCTGGGAAGGTCAGTGCACAGTGTCAGGCATGGGTTCATCCAGGTCTCAAAGGGAAATGGCTGAGCCATGGGTTTCCCACCGGGTTGTGGAGCTGCTGTCCTGTCTCCCCACAGCGAGTGCAGCATCAGGACAGCACAGCCACCAGCAGTATTAGGAGCCTTTCCCTGTTAGCCAGGACATGTCTCCGGTTCTAAAAGAGGGAAAAACCAGATGAGGTGTTACTCAGCATATGCAGCTCTCAATGCTGTCTTGGTACTAGTCCAGACATTGGTCACTGGTGTCCATCTCCCCACCCTGCTGCACTGTGCCCTTCCTCTGCCCTCATTCACACGTCATTAAACTGTCCAAAAAGTCCATGCAGATCCTCAATTCCATGTAAAACAGAGCTAAAACATTTTTTTTTTTACTTAAACCCAACCCTCCTGGCATTCAGCTGAAAGCTCATGGAAAGCCACCAAACCCCCAGCAAAGCAGGGTCTCAATCAACAGGCAGCTGCCCAGTCCCAGCAGATCTATGCCTGATGTGGCTCCTGGCACCTCCAGCCCTACCACCCAGCACAGCAGCATCGCCCCCCCTGTGAGGGGGATGCAAAACATGGATGCCCACAACATAATCAGTGTCCCACATGGGAATTAGGGATATGGCCCAATCAGGTGGCTGGTTGGCCCTCCTGCCAGCCCCTCACACCCAGCACACCCAGGACCCCAAATCGAACGTACTTGCCATGACGGACAAACAGCCTAAAGTTGTGAAAGCAGTAGGAGACAGAGAGAGAAAAGACATTCAGGTTTAGGTGGTCTGGTTTCCTCCAGGCCCCCAAGCCTGCTTCCACCCGCCACTGGGATGCCCATGAGATACCACCTCCTTCCCAGCCAGCAGCCATTTCCCGATGTAGTGGGGGTTACAGCACAAGAAATCCTTCCCTGTGAGGGTGGTGAGGCACAGGTTACCCAGAGAAGCTGTGGCTGCCCCATTCCTAGAAGTGTTCAAGGCCAGGCTGGACAGGGCTTGGAGCAACCCGGTCTAGTGAAAGGTGTCCCTGCCCAAGGCAGGGGGTGGGATGGGATGGCCTTTAAGGTTCTTTCCAATCCAAACCATCCTGTGATTTTCTGAACCCTATCTCCACTAGGTGGACATGTGACATTCTCCCCATCCCAGAGGTGCCCAGGGAGTCTGAGCTGGTTCAGACCTGCCTGGGGGCCGGGAGTGCTCCTCTCCCTGAGCTTTTGAAAAGATTTGCTTTTATTCCACATGTGGAAACATCCCTGAAACAGGAACCCACATTCCCTCAGCAGCTTTGGTTCCTACTCTAAAGTCTTCTTCCCAGTTGTTACCATCTCCCTGGCATTTGCCTTCCAGCACCCACCCTCAGTACAAAGGGCTATACTCTTTCCTCTGCAAGGTCTTAAAAACAAAGTGAATGAGAAAAATGCCCCCTGCCTATGAGCTCCACTCCAAGGAACTGGAGGCCGAGACACCACAGGCCAGCATCCTGGTACCACCAGCTCTCTGGGCTGGGTTGTGCACAGGCTTCACACCCAGCCCCTCTCTGTAGATGCCCTTGACTGACTGGGTGCCCAGGGGCAGTGCTTCCTTGGTGATGTGCCAGTGCCCAAAGGCAGTGAGTATCCCCCTCCCATGCAGTCCGTGCAAGGATTTGGGTCCTGGTGTTTAAGACAAACCCCACATGTGCAGGATGCCAGAGGAAGCTGGAGGAAGATGGGAGGCAGCACTGAGGGGGATGGAGTAAGCAGAACGGGAAGGGAGATGCAAGGATATACAGAGGGAGCAGCAGGAAAGAGCTGCCTTTGGGTGCTCGGCCCTGCCCTGCACCCCCTGGCTGTGATTTGCTGCTGCCCCGGCACTGCCAGTTTCCGCTACATGTCTACTTACTCCACATCGCGCTTCCGGATGGTCCTGCCAGCAGCCAGGACCTCAGCCACCTTGGAGACAATCGGGTCGTAGTTCATGCTGGCCACAGCCACCACCTCATCGCTCCTAGGGCCGGGCAGAGCAGAGCAGTTAGGGCACCCTGGATGGCCACGGCTCCATCACCCAAAATCCAGCATGCTGGAGAGAAGCGGGAAGCAAAGAGAAACACCCACTCCAGAGCCAGGCCCGATCCCAAGGCATGAGCACGACAGGGACTGTGCTAGTGGCATGGGACAAAGGTCAGGAGAGGGCTCAGAGCTGACACGGCAGGGTGGCCCCAGTGGTCCCACCAATGCTCATGTGCTGGCATAGTGAGCATCATGAGGGTGCCTGGGGGACAGAGGCAGCTCTGGTACCCTGGCATCTGTGGGAAAACACCACCAAAGTTGAATCTGACGGTGATAAAAACCTGGACACCAGCAAGGATGCCCAGTGGTTGTTGCGATCCCTGTGCTACTGCCTTCTGCCAAGGGAGTGGAGAGGCAGGTGGTCAGGATTTCCCTGTGGGACACTTGGTTGGAATGCTCTACATCCTCTTCCTGATTCCCACCTCCAAGAGGGCAGAGTGCCCACCTCTGAGCTGCTCCACAGGCACCAGGACAGAGGTGTCCAACACCAGAGTCCCATAGCCCCAGTGATGAAGTCCTCGTGTATAGGGATGTCCAGGCCAACTGGCTGTTCCCCACCAGGCTCGCAACACAACCCCAAAGGTTGAGTGGGAAACCAATGAAGTGGAAGGAAGAGAATATAAAAATGCTGGAAGAGCTTTGGCTAAAGGTCACTGGCAAATGAGAAGGGTTCTTCTACTTTGAGGTTTGCCGAGGTCAACCCAAAGACTGGCCCATGAGACAATTCATGAAGAGATAACTGAATGGACAAAAAACGTGAGATCAGGGAAGGTGTGTTGTAAGATATTAAACTCTGGAGATACTGTTGAGTAAACTGAAGCATAGAAGCACACATCAAACCAATATCTGCTCTTCAATCTGCTGCCAAAGAGCTCTGTGATTAACAGAGCAAAGGACAGCCAGGGTGGGGGGATGTGTGCCTAATTCCCAAGAAGAGGAGAGCAAAAGCCATGTTTCAGAGGACACTTCATCCCTATGCAGCCATGGGAGTTAAAGCCATCTCTCGCAGCTGTCCACAAAACCATGGGGCAGTTCCATCACAGACTGTTTTCACAAGGCTCCTATTTCTAAATCATCATGGCTAGGCTTCATGAATGAAGATTTGGGAAAGGCTCTATCCACTATTCCTAAATAAGTTCACTGCAAATAGAGGAGAGCAAGTTTCCTGAGCATAGCCAGCTCCCACCTAGGAAACACAAAGTGGTTGGAGAGACCTATCCATCAAAACCAGGGGAAGATGTGCTGTTCCAAGGCAATGAATAACTAAGGTGTGTAAGGGAACTGAAAGGAGGACACACTCCACCAGTTGCCCACCAGCTCAGCCTCAAGCCCAGACAGTGCCCAACATGACCAGCCAGGAAGGTGGACACAGCCCAAACATTTCTGTCAGCAAGACATGGGGCTGCTGCTCCACTTACAAAATAACCCGTGGGATCCTGGTGAGCCGGGGCATTCCACATCAGCGGTGGCTTTTGGACACTTTGTCAGACAGATGGGGAGCCTGTAGGAATCCCTCTTTTTCAAAAGGCCTTCAGAGGTAACAAGACTTCCCTTCCTGAACCTGGGATTTGGAGCAATCAGAAGTCTTGGTGTGAAAGCTGAGGGAAAAGGGAGTACAGTGGATGTGTCTACATGGTCTTCCCTTCTTTTGCAGGGTTCAACACAACAGAAGTGGGGAACCATGAAGAAGACAGCCACAACAATTCCCTGGTCTCCAAGGTCTTAGGGGTGGGATGACATCAGTCTGTTCTGGCTGAAGTGCTGCAGTGAAAGCAGTGTCCCACGGGGACATCTGCAGAGCACTGTCCTGTACAGGGACTTTCACTGACCTCTACACAGCTCTGACCAGTGAGAGATGGACAGCTTTCCTCTTCAAATTCTGGGGCAAAAAGAGCCTTATTGTGAAATGCTGAGGACAGGCTGCAGGAGTGGGAACCACCAGTAGTTCCTGCAACAGCCAAGGAGGACCAGGAGAAGAGTCCAAACCACAGGGTGGGCACAGCAGAAGAAAGCAGAAGGAAATAGTAGGTTTGAGACTGTCCTCAGTCAAAAAGCATTAGCACCAACCAGAAGAACCACCACCAAAAAAGAAAGAGGAAAAAATGCTCCAGTGGCCCCTCACAGAAGCACAAACAGGGACATTTGTGATGACAGCTGAGCAAAGCTGCAGGGGACACATTGGCTGACCCCCGCCAGATGGTGCTCCCCAGTACCTCCGGCTCTCAGCGCAGAATGCCATCCTGGTACCCAAAAGACATCTCTGGGAGCCCCTCCTGGGTAGCAGAACAACACAGTGTTCAGTGGCAGACCCCCACTGCTGACCACTGGATCCAGCTGCCCTGTGTGCCTGGGCAGACTTAGGCAGTCCCTGCCCCCCACAGCCACCGCAGCACACAGAGCACGGGGCACAGAGCAGGGCTTCCGCACCTTGCTCAAGGCGTTCCCTTTGAACAGGCCCCTCAGACATCAAACTAAAGCAACTTGACCTTTCCTTTCTAATTAGGGTGGGGATAAAGAGCTAATTGCTCTGGTATGGAAAGGCTGCAGGAGGGGAACGTCCCCACAGCAGCTCTCCCCAGCACAGGTGGTGCCTTGGCACAAACACGCTCCTTTATGCAATTTTGGCCAAGGTGCCAGCACACTCTGAGCTGTGTCCAAGGTGCCAAGGGCCCCAGGTGCCAGCTAGATCCCCATCCCCTGCAGCAGGTGTTTACCTGACGTGTTCAGGCACCAGGAGGAGGAGGGTGAGAATCAGGGACTCATGGAGTGATACACTGAGCCCTGTGCCTCTCCAAGCCCGAGGGACACATCCAACTGCCAGGCTCCATTCTGGAGCAATGTGGCACCCTCAGGGAGGGAAGGCATGAGAGCCATTGGGGAGGGAACAGAGAGGCAGTGAGATGATCTCTGCAGAGCCACAGCTGACTCCTGTCCCGGGCTCCCTCTTGATCCCTGCCTGGGTGCTGCTGCCGAGTAGTCTGATGGCTGAGCTGGGCAGCCCTTTGCTTCCCTGATTTCCCCCTCCCCATCCTTAATATCAGAAAGCACTTGGAAAAACCCCTTTGGCTCCAGTCGTGAGGAGGTTCTATGGCCACTGTTTTCAGATTTGGATGGGACAAAGGCAATAGAAGAATAAACAGCAGCAAATATTTTGGGGATAAATTCATGGTGCACCCAGTCTAAACACCCAACACGGCTCCAAAACAGATGAGACAACACATCCCAGCTATCAACACGTCTCCGGAATGCATTCCCAGGTAGGGTCCCAGCCAAGGGGAGAGGTGGGCTTCACTACAAGTGTAACAAAGTTCCTGAGCTGTTGCAAATGTTCACAGCTTGTTATAGACAGAAAAGGTTTTTGAGCTCAGTCTGTCAAACCAGAATCAGAATTGGTGATGCCTGAGCGCCCAGTCCAGCCCTGGTCACAAACCATTAACATGGTGATGAGATGGGAAGGAAATCTTTGATAGGCATTGCCACTAAAAGCCATCATCTGCTCCCCAGATTATGTGAACAGACAAAGGGCTTACATCTGGCAGAGATGCCAGGTCCAAAGACCAATTTAACTTGTTCTACGATCAGCACATCATTTCTCCAGGGCCTTTTATTAGTGTCCCACAAGCTCAGTGCCCAGAGATGAACAAAACCAACTGACAGAAGCTCTAGTAAAACTATTTTCCAGTCTAGCAGAGCAATCTCAGATGAATGCCTGTGTAGAAAGACGGAAAAGAGAAACACGTACTTGGTATAAAATGCCACAAACTTCAGTTCATCTAAATCTCCCTGAATGACAACATCATCGAATCCTTCCGCATGGCCTGCAAAGCAGAGAAGAAGAGTGGATTCAGCAACAATTCCTCCGTATCCAGCTCTAAGACAGGGTGTTTCACTCCAGAGCTACACAAAGAACGTCCTGTGATGACCAAGAGATCAGCACAGGAAGATGTGGGTACCAAAAATAACAAAATCACAGGATGGTTTGGGTTGGAAGGGGCCTTAAAGACCACCTTGTTCAAACCCCTTGCCATGGGCAGGAACACCTTCCACTAAACCAGGTTGCTCCAAGCCCCATCCAACCTGGCCTGGAACACTTCCAGGGATGGGACAACCTGTGCCAGGGTCTCACCATCCTCACAGGGAAGAATTTCTTCCCATTATCTAATCTAAATCAACCCTCCATCACGTTTAGAGAAGTGCACTTCACGACAGACAGGTTTCAGAGAAGACACCAAACCCCTAAGAAGCCAGGCAGGGAAGCAGACCTGTGGCACAAGTCGGTGTGGAGGGTCCACAGGAAGGGACATGGCTGTGGCTCCTCTATGCCAGGACACCTCCACCAGCACAAATGCCACAGCAGCCTCAGGAACCCCTTACCTGCATACCGGATGCTCTTCCCAAACATAGCAGTCCACAAATATGGGACGGTGCTGATCTCTGTGCCATGGGCCAGCATGTTCAGTGCAGCAATACGGCCTGGAAGACAGCAGCAGCAGGATTGAGGAATTCCCACACCAGGGCAAGCATCATGGTCTGCCTTCAAGTCACAGCACAGCATCAACATCCCCAGTCACAGAGCACAGGGAAACCAAGAACTGCTGCTGAAAACACGCCACAAAGCAACAAAGACCAAGCAGAAAGCATACGACATCGTCCGAGGATGGGCATGGACTCCTTCCCATGGTGCAGCTCCTACTCGTCACCTCCACTGGCAGGAGCAATATGCCCATGAGACTGTTTTCCCCCAGCTTCTGGAACAGTGACAGGGCTGAGAGCATGCTGAGCTCCCACCCAGACAGGGATGGGATGGACAAACCCCTGGAGGCACGGTGACTGTTGGGACATGGTCCCTGCTGCAGGGGCGTGTCTGGACCCGGGGGCTGTGTCCAAAGGTTGACTTGTGGTTCCAAAACCTCTCACCCAGGGCACCCACCCAGAGGGAAACCTTCTCACGGGACTGTGGCCATGAGGGCAGCTGATCACACCAGGGATTTCAGGCTGATGTGAAGGGGACAAAGATTCGAGTTCTGCAACGTGCTCCTGGGTCAGCCTGGCAGTGTGGGCAGCCCAGCTGGAAATCTGAGCCCGGGCTGACTTTAGGATTTGAGCCACTAAGCGCCCCCAGGCAAGGAGGCGAGCAGGCTCCTGCAGCAATGCAGATGCCAGGAAGCAGAGGGCATATGGAAAAGCCTGTCCCTCGGCACCTCTGCGCTTGTGACGAGGCACTGTTAGGCAAAGCTTGGCACAAATGCTGACAGATGAGGCATATTGGGCAGGATAAAATATACATGCTTCAAAATGTTCAATACAATCACCCAGTTTCCCTGTTGACAGTTATCTCATTCTCTCCTTAGAGGGTTTGGAATTTTCCCAGGAATCTGCAAAAGTCTCTTTTCTGCTAAGTACCTACCATGCATGTGGGCCATCTGCCAGTGGGGGACGTTCACCTTCTTGTTATTCCTCAAGGCCAACGGAAACGTGACAGCGTCTCCAGCAGCAAAGACCCCGGGGATGTTGGTCTGCATCATCTGCAGGGAACAGAGGTGTGCATTAGTGGGGTTTGCACCACACACAAACAGAAACAGAGAACTGCTACAGAGCTGCCATGTCCCCAGGAACACACAGACAACCTCTGCTTGGCTGTGAGACCCCCACATGGGATTTCATTCAACCTTCTTCACTTTCAAAGGAGAACACATGGGCAGGGACCTACAGTATCCCTTTTCCAGTGGGTTATCCAGTAAAAAGAGACAGGGACTGGGGTCCTGGAGCCCCTCTTAGAAGTCTGGCGTCTGTCAGTGTTTGCAGGGCTCATCACACGGATGAGCAATAAGCACAGGGTGGGTGGCACAGAGCCCCACCTCCCTGACAATGCTCCTTGCTCATGGCACACACCACCCATCAGCACGAGCACCGCTCCACCGCAGTGGATACCTGGAAAGATGGATCTTTCTCAATTTCTTTCCCCCCAGAATATTCACACCATTCCAGGGCAGCTCAGAACCAGATCCAAGCCAGAGCATTCAGGGCTGGGGTTTGCAAATCCCACACTTGCACGGGCAGTCCCAGGTGCTCCTGATGATGCTCCCAGAATCTCAGCATCTCATAGAACATCCTGAGATGGAAGGGACCTCCAAAGATCATCGAGTCCAATTCCTGGCCCTGCACAGGCCAACCCGCAGAATTCCAAAATTCCAATTCTGCCAATCTTGACAGATAAAAAGCCATGAAAAGCACTTATGGCAACAGTTTGGAGTCCCCGGGAAGCTCTTCTGTGAGGAGAGGTGACCCACCTCCTCCTGCTCTCCCTCCCACAGGGGCTGCCCCTGGGCTCACCTTGTTGACCACAATGAAGCCCTTGGAGTCGATATTGATGCCACTCTGCTTGAGGAAGCCCGTTGCTGGAACTGCACCTGTGGGAGAAGGCAAAGGCTGCAGTATCTGTGTGTCCCACAGCCCTGGGGGGCTGACCCCAAGACCAGCAGATCCCCTTGTGCCAGGACAGTCAGTCTGCCCAGGGAAAGGCAATGGCTGCCCTGAGAGCAGGGCCAGGCACCCTATGGAGACCCCACTGCATCAGCCTCTGCCTCCCAGGATCCCTATCCTTCCCTAAGCCATCATTGTAATCTGCCCATCACCCTTTTCTAGTACTTGGAGGTAATTTTCAATGTAATTCTCTTTTATTTTGAAAAAAAATTATATTTAAAAGGGAACCTTTGATTTTCCAGCCAGGGCTCCTTGGCCTCCCCCCAGTCTGTACCTTTGCTTCACCCTTCCTTTTCCTTTTTTAATCTTTTTTTCTCTCCAGCCTTCACAAATCAGAATGAAACTAATTCTGTGATTCTTCCAGTCCACAGCATTTTGAAAAATTACAGAGATGGCAGGAAAGGAATTTTTTCCCCTCCCCAAATGTAAAGGAGAAAAATACCCTCTTCTGTGGGGTATTTTCTTTGATTTTATAATAATGGGGTATTCTTTTATTTTATAATACAGGGTACATTTTTTGTTGCTGGCAGCAGCAAATAAAACCAATTTTAAAAAACTGAGTTTGGGGAAGCTTTAATAAAAAACAACTTGAGGTGATGAAATTGCTTTGAATTTTTTTTTTCTGGAAAACCCAAATGCACTACTATTTCCCAAATACATTTTGTGATAGAGGCTCTAGAAAAGCATTTTTTAGTTACTCAGATTCATGTGTGGCAGCCAAGCAGGGCTGGCCTATCACTGCCAGCACCCCTGGCTACCTGGCCCCAAGGAGCCCTTGCTGCCACATCCCCTCCAGCTTCTCCGGCACCGAAGAGAGCCCACGAGCCCCCAGCTGAGCACCACACAACCCCTTACCAACACCAACAACACACACGTCGGCACGCAGGACCTTCCCACTCTTCAGCACAACCTCCTTGAGCTGCAGGAGACACGAGGTGGGGGGGGCATCACAGTTATTTTAGGGACAAAACACCCTCTGCAGCAGCAGGAAGCCAAGCTGGCAGCTCGCCTCCTTTGTGACATGCAAGCTGACCATAAATGTTAGAAAAGCAACAGGAGGAGGGTGGGAGCAATGAAGCCACCTCACACACCACACTGGTGCACTTTTGCTCTTGGGGACTAAACCCAGGAATACGAATTTCAGGGACTAGGAAAGAGGGGAGAGCAAAGTCCCAGCAGGGAATAGAACAGCAGCCCTGGGGGATGCCACAGCAGTGCTGCCGGGGAGCCCCTGCCCACACCCTACCTTCCCCTCCTGCTCCCGCAGCTCTGACACTTCTGTCTGCATGTAGAACTTCACTCTGTTGCTCTCGAACATCTGGAGGGGGGACAAGGGACAAAGCAGGGGACATCAGAACCCTGAACCACCCCTAGTCGTGGTGTCCCTGTGCCCCCAGCACTGCCCTGTCCATCCCCTGTGCTCGCCTTGACCCGTGCTGCAAAGGGAGTTGGCACCCCCACCCCTCCAACACAAGTCCAGAAGAAGGTGATCTACAGCACATGGACCATGAGAGGGAAGACACAGCCCGCTCTGTCTACTGACTGCTGCCATCACAGCTTTGTCAATAAACATTAAGTAAATTAATTAGTGCAATAAGTGATACAAGCAGAACCCACTCTGTTACCAACCCTCCCCTCCAGATGGAAAAGAGAGGTCACCTTCATGACAGCACGGCCAACCCTCTCCCCAAAGAACTTCTTGAAGGGGACTTCTTCCAGCTCCACCAGGGACACCGAGTGGGCCCTCTCTGCGAGGTAGGCAGCCACCTCCATCCCTGGGGAACGGAAGCAGGTCTGAGTTGGCTGTGGGAACCACCCCAGCACTGTCCTGCATCCCTGGAACTCACTGCAGCAGAGGAGCTGCCTCACCCACACTGACTGGGAAGGTTGGAGCTGCGCTACTGGGAGAACTGGGGAGGCACTAGACCTGGTCATGCAAGGGGCCACACCAATTCGGGTATTCTTCAATGTAGATTTTGAAGATCAAAGGGAGGAACCGGTCATGATGAAGCTCCAAAGTGCCCTGGTGTAGTGGGTTTCTATGGCTAGGTTTGGTAGCAGCGGGGCTACAGGGGTGGCTTCTGTCAGAAGCTGCCAGAAGCTTCCCCTGTCCATGATGAAGCCAATTGCAGCCAACTCCAGGACGGGCTTCCTGCCGCTGGCCAAGGCCGAGCCAATCAGGAGTGATAGTAATGCCTCTGGGATAACATATTTAAGAACAGAAAGCTATTGCGCAGAAAGAATTCCAGCCAGGGAAGAGCGGAGTGAGAACATGGGAACAGCAATGCAGACCCCAAGGGCAGTGCAGAAGGGCAGGAGGTGCTCCGGGTGCCAGAGCTGAGGCCCTGCAGCCCGTGGTGCAGAGCAGGGTGGGGCAGCTGTGCCCCTGCAGCCATGGGGGAGCATCGGGGGGGAGGAGGGAGAACATGGAAGGAAGAAGGGGTGGGGGAAAGGTGTTTTTTAAGATTATTTTACTTCTCACTCTTTTGATCTGACCCTGTTAGTAATAAATTCAATTAATATCCCCACTTTGAGTCTGTTTTGCCCATGATGGTGATCAGAGTGACATCTCCCAGCTCTTAACTCATGAATCCTTTGCTGTTTTTTTCTCTCCTCTGTCCAGTTGCAGAAGGGAGTGAAAGAGTGGCTGTACCTGGCACCCAGCCAGGGTCAACCCTCTACACCTGGGAAGCCATAGCACATGCAACAATGGACCTCAATCAATGGAGGCCTTTCTCCTACAGCTGGGACTCTCAGCTGCAGTCTGAAAAAAGCTCTTGGAAGTCACTGTCTTCTCTGATCAGAATGGGAGAATTTTACTGCTAGGAATTGCATGGGAACCTCCACCAAGACATTTTCTATCTATGGTGGTTTTTTATGGAAATTAATCTTTTTGATGACCTGCAGTTTGCAACTGGCTTCCCACACCACATGCTTTTCTGTAGATCATATTGATCAAAGCATTAAAACAGGTTTATCTTTTATAAAAGAAAAAAACCCCAAATAATGAAAATTTCATAATAAATTCCCTCACTAATAAACATTTATGCTTAAGGCTTGCAGAGCCCACTATTATTTTGTTAGAACCATGTCAACCATAAAGAAGGACCATCAAAGAAACTGTATTTCAAAAATTCACTGCTCCGCTAAAATGTAAAAGAGAAATAAACCCACAGGCCCCCACTCACCAACAAGACTCTCCCGACTGAAGCCAAATCTAGACACACCAGATTTGAACCCACCTGAGCAGTAGTACTGGCCTTGCCATGTACTTTTCAGTCTGGGACAGCAATATCTGTGCCTATACAAACCCAGCCTCTTCAGAAAATCAATTTCTTCAGAGATGTCCTCACATGCACCCAGGGGGGGAGGTTGGACTACCCCAGGTTCAGTTTGGGAGTGGGGGTTATCGCTAACTGGGTAGTAACAAACTGGGAAAGGGTTTGGGATCATCTGCAGGAAAGGCGGAGAGCTGGGAAGCAGACACCGCCCGCACGAGCACTCACCCAGGAAGGATGCTCCCACGATAACCACGTTCTTGCTCGTGGCCAGCTTTACCACACGGTTGGCATCTTCGGGTGTCCGGATGTTGAAAACATTTTCCATCTCCTTGCCTTTGCAGCTGAGAGCTTTGGGCCTGAAAAACACTGAGGGTGCTACAACTGCTTTTCTCGACCCCATGGTGGCTGCAGTGCCCAATTAGGACAGCAGGCACCCTTCTGGGGCTCCAGCAGCATCCCAGACTCTCCTTTTTTCACCTTTCTCTGGGTCGGAGACATAACACGGAATAACAAAAATGCTGGTGGACAACGGTCGAGCAGGGGATGCTGGACAGCCACCCCAGACCCCACTGTGTACCCACGGGGCCGGGGGAGCACCTTCCTGGGGCAATGCAGCACAGCACAGGACAGGCACAGCTTTACAAACCTGCACTAAACCACTGGCATGTCCTAACATTTTCAGAAGCTTAATGGGACACAGAAAACTCACTCTGTCCTCCAGCAGTGCTTTGGAGCCAGATACTGAAAGTTTGATAAGGCTCTGAAGATGCAGGCTGCACTCTCCATTCCTGTGGGCACATTGCTGATGCTGTATCAGCTTAATCATGCCCTCTCCAGACACTTACTGGAACCTATCTATTTTTAAGTATCTGACCCCTGCCTGACTCACATCTGAAAACGGGACAGATGATCCTAAAAAATTTAGGTACCCTTAAAAAACATTTACCCAGTGTACCTGCAGCCTGTGTATGAGGATTTTGAAATTACTGCCAAAGGATTAACCCTCTTTTGAACCTAATTCAGTTTCTGGTGTACGTGGCATTTTGGCTGCAGCACTGTACACCCCAATGCCACCCATTCACACCTAGTGGGGCTGTTGCTGTGACTGGCAGCACACTGGCTTTCAATGCGAGTTGCTGCTCCGGCTGTTCCGCAGCATCCCTTCCTCAGATGATAAATTATGCAGGGACTGCATTTCTCATTCTTTGTTTTACAGCTTGGTATAAGGAGCACAAGGAAGGGCAGCCAGGATGCCTTATTTTCACCTTGAATTGCCAATTTGGACAAACCTCCTATTGAAAACAAACTGACCTGCTACTTTCAGGGTGCAAGGGACAATGCCAGTCTGGGGCGATGCCTGGCATCCCAGCACATCAATACCACCTTTCCTATGGCTGGACAAGGTTCAGTCCTGAAAACTCCCATGCTGGGGGCAAGGCTCCCAAAGCTGTTAGGCTTGGGCGGCAGCAACACCTTATTAGGGCTGCAACAGTGAAGTGTTAAGCTTTAATTGCTGAGAAAGATCTTAAAGGTTGGCAGGAAATGAAAGATGAAATTCAGAGGGATGTTAGGGTTGAGTGTTACTGAAGAGTAAAAAGAGCAACATGGCAAAAATTACCTCTAAAAAAAAAATAGAATACTTCCACTTTGGAGGGTTTTGTTAAAGAAAATACGTTCAAGGTCCTAGGGCCACCATCCCTGGAAGTGTTCAAGGACAGGCTGGATGGGGCTTGGAGCAACCTGGTCTAGTGGAAGGTGTCCTTGCCCATGGCAGGGGGTTGGAACCAGATGAGTTTTAAGTTGCTTTCCAAGCCAAACCATTCTCTGATTCTATAATTTTATAAAATATGATGTATATATATATATATATATATATATGAAATAGATGATGATATAGAGATATAGAGATATAGAGATATAGAGATAGGTGTAGATGCAGATACATACAGATATATCCAATATCTTTGGTGTTCCTTGACTTTTCCACAAACACTCTTCTAAACAAATTCAGTGTCTGAATTTACCTGCCATATTTCACTCCTTATCCCCAGGCAAAATCTCTTCACATTCTCAGATAAAACAGTTTCTCTTGATCTTTAAGATTTTTGTCTGTAGCTTACATGTTTCCAGTCGCTATCAGCAGCTTGTTGTATTCCATCTTAAACCCATCTTTGAACACGGCTATCTTGCTCTTGATATCCACAGCCGCAACCTGAAATCATTCTTAAATAATGTTAAGGGATGAAATCCCAGACGTTAACTGAGTTCCCAGTCCAATCAATTCATCTGTCAGGTTTTAGTCCTCCATGTTAGTTTATTAGTTTTGGTTGATTAGTTGGTTGGTTTTAGTCTGTTTGTTTTAGTCCCCCCAGGCCACAGCTTGGCCAATCCAGACCTTAAATATTCCTCGTTACCTTTTCACAGATCCTTGAAGATCTCCCAATATAAATAAGATAATGGGGAGAAATGTTTAAGCCACTGTCTCCTCTGCTTGAAGGCTGATTATCCTAATCAGAGGGCAACTGGCCACCCCAGATCCATGTGAGGGTGCTGGCAAATGGCAGGTAAGAAGTTATGGCCACATCATAGTCACACCCAGGGTGTCCTTCCCGCCACGGGAGCATTGCATTAGCTGTGTTTTGAACAACCACAGGCAACCTGTGCTCTGGGGCACAGAACAGGGGGCTGAGGTAGACCCAACATTTATGCAATGGCATCCAGTGAGCCGAGAACAGAGACCCATTCCCTAAATATGACCTTTGCATACCAGTGCTTGCTGGCGACAGCCTACAGGAACACACAGGACTCTCCTTACCTGCATTTCAGTCAGGACTTCGATGTCATAGGTGCAGAAGAACTCCTTGGGGCGCAGGGCAATCTGCTCAGGGTGGGAATCCATTGACTGCAAAAAAAAAAGCCATTTTTCCATCAACTGCTGGGCATTGAACAGGTGAGTGAAGAAGCCGCTGTTACCAAGAGAAGTCAGTACTAGCCTGAAGTCAGCACTTACAGCACAGGTTAAGGGAGCAGTTCTACAGGCTGGAATTAAAGCCTCTTCAAGTAGAAGTTGTTACAAGAGGCCGATCTGGGCTCTGGTTCCTTCTCTGCTGCCTTGGTGTGGGGCTGGTATTGACCAGTTGAGGCAGTAAGTGCTTCTGAGAGTTGGCAAAGCAGCCATAACTGCAGCTCCTCACAGCACAAACAGGTTCACAGGAGCCTCATTTTATAAGGGTGGTAAAACACCGGCATAGGTTGTCCAGAGAAGCTGTGGCTGCCCCATTCCTGGAAGTGTCCAAGGCCAGGCTGACGGGACTTGGAGCAACCTGGTCTAGTACAAGGTGTCCCTGCCCATGGCAGGGGGATGGACCAGATAACCTTCAAAAGTCCCTTTCAACCCAAACCACTCTATGATTACTTGGAAAACAATCAGTTACCAGGGGAAATGGAAGGTAGAAGAGCAATAAGAACATGCAACATTAACATACAAGGACACACTTTCAAAAGCACCCAAGTAACGCTGCACAAGTTCCCTCAAAAGCTGAAACAGGGCATGGGCCTGTATCTGCTCATCTTCAGCTGTAAGAGGTTCTTGCTCTTCCCAGCCTTCCCTGATCACTGGGGTGAGATGTACATTATCTTTACATGCAGGGTTGAGCCCAAGTTCATCTGCCCTTCTGACTCTGTGGAGACAAGCTCAGACTTAGGCTGAGGACAAGCTGAGCTTCAAGTGACCTCCTGGCTGTGCAGGCTGCTCCCTGCTCCAGTGTACTCCTCCTTGCCTGCAGCGTACCAGGAACAGTCAAGCGCTGCAATTTATCACACAGCACTGAGCTGCAGCATCTACCTGTGCCAAACAGGCATGACATTTGGCCTTGACCTAGGAGTGATAAGGGATGCAGGAATCAAGGGCTTTCCCATCTGCCCACGGGGATAGATGTGCAAGATCCTTATCCCCAGAGGTAGCTTGGTCAGGGGCTGGGATGAGCCTCTGACTTCAGTCAATGCTCTGCTGAGGAGAGACCTGCATTGAAGAACTCGAGGCAGGGGCAGGGTCATACACGTTTTACTGCAAATTCTTTAAATACTCCATGTTTACAGAGAGGAATACCCAACCCCATTGTGCCAGGAAGGGCAACATAGAGCAGTGCACTACCACGATAGGTTTTGCTGCCTGGTGCTCTGGAGATGGCAACAGAGACATGGCAACACATCAGGGAGGTGGTCACGGTCCAAAGGGACAAAGAGGAACAGTTCAACAGGACCTGGGGACAGACTGATAACAAGCTTTCGGCAAGGCAGAGGAAGGGCAGTGCTGCGGTTTCAGGGAGTAAGAAGTCTGCTGCTTACAGAATTGTGCGCTCCTCCTGCAGTAACTCTGTACATGATTAGTCCCACTCACAACAGGATTAAGAAAAATCCCATTTTTCTCCTAGCCTGTTCCCAAAAATTCAGCTTTCTCTTCCATGGGTTTTGTGCACCTTCTAAAAGCAACTACAGCCAGAGGTGTTTAGTGGAGAGTTTAACAGATCATGTACAACACCTTTGGCATGTGAAATGTTCTTACTATTTAAGAGAGAGAAGAAAAGCCAGTCTAAGACTCACATGTGGGGATAAGTGTTTGGGAGAGCTGCCTGGCTGGGACAGGGACTCCAAGATACTCTGAGCTCCTCAGCACAACCTCTGTGACTCTTAGATGCAGGTTTCAGCCAGCTGCTCCTCACCTCAGGTGGGAATTGCCCAAGCACAGAAATAGCCTGAATGCTCCCAAAAAAGCCATGTGCATGTTTGCCTTTCTTTGAAAATCCCTTTTTTTTGCTTCTGGAAGCAGAGTTAGATGCTGTGATTGTAGAGTACCATCCCCCACGGATAAACATTCCTGACAAGAAGGTGAACACACAGTCCACCTTATTTTATCTCCAAGCTCCGAGGCCAAATGCTGCTGTCCAATCTGATCTGCTGTCTGACATCAAAGAAGGCTCAGGAATCAGCAGCAAGAAATGTGACTAGAAGATCATCCTACGTCTACAAACTAGAATGCAAAATGGGATTTGTGTCAGAAAAAGTGATGCTTGCACTGCCATCAAGATATCAAGTTGTGATGACGATTGAGAATCATCATAATTATGGCATGGAGCATCCCTGGGCAGTAAGAACCATGCACTCATAAAAAAACATGGTAAACAACACCATTTTTCCACATGCCTCATTTCATTGCCTTTAAGATTTTGATCCAGACACACATTAAGATCTACCCAGGTAGAAGCTGGCTAAGACAGCTACTGCTAGACCTGTGAAGAATCATATAAATCCTTGAGTGGCTTGGCTTGGAAGGGACATTAAAGCTCACCTCATTCCAATCTGCAGGGACACCTTCCACTAGACCAGGTCGCTCCAAGCCCCATCCAACCTGGCCTTGGACACTTCCAGGGACGAGGCAGCCACAGCTTCTCTGGGTAGCCTGTGCCAGGGCCTCACCACCCTCACAGGGAAGAACACCCTTGTTTCTGTGCTAGAGTGCTCGTAGTTCAGAGTTTGAACAACTCCTTTTTTGCGTTTCATATTTCAGTCACAAACAGGAAAGAAAATTCAAGGAAAACAGAAATTCTGAATAAGGAGAGAGAACCATGCTGCTGCAATGAATAACAGTGGGGAAAGGTCCTAGAGCAAACCTTAAAACTGGGGAGGAATATGGCATACCCAGAGTGATACAAACCTTACTGAGCTTTGGTCTGTCGTAAGGCAAGTGTCTGTCCATTGTGCACATCACAATCCGGTCAGAGAAACCTTCCTGGCGCAAGGTCTCTGCACAGACCAGCCCAGCTGCCCCTAAGGGAGAAGGAGACCAATGACAGCCATGTGTATGAGGCATTGGCAGATCTGAGCCCTTTACTGCTAAACCTGCCAGGGCTGAGTCCAAAATCACCATCTCCACCAGCCCTGGCCTCACTTCACTGCCCTTCCTAAGTTGAACAGCTCACACAGGAAGCTGGTCAGGGCGGATGCAGCAGGCAAGAGAAGGGACTCTCTGTCTAAGAAGTGTGCCATTAATCCTCTTGTCTGTCCCTAAAGTGTCACAAAACCACAAAGACCACATCTGAGGAGTGCGGCTAATGCCTACACACCTCTCACAAGCTCCAGGGCAGAAGCAGCTGCTCAGACCCTTGGACTTCTGTAGTCAGGGAAAGGTCTGCACACCCAGCTCCTGGTAAATTTATGGCCAAGCATGGAGGGCAGAGAGCCCTCCCTTCTCCACAGCCAAAGTGTTGGTTGTGTTACTCACTGTAGAGCATTTCCCATGCTATTTCTTTAAGGGTTTTTTGTTTGCTTGTTTCAATCACAGAAAAAAAAGGGCTAAATCAAACAAAAAGCTTCCTAGGGGCATGCTGTTCCCCTGCATCCAGGCAGCCTGATGGGAACATCCCTTCTTCCTTGGCCTACTCGTGAGATTGGAGAACTCAGGTGAGAAGTCTTGAGTCTCTTCTCAGCCAAGGAAGCCTTGTTTGATAATAAGTGTTTCTAGGGACATGATTTCTGTAACACCAAAGAGATGGACCTGGACAGTATCATGGTTTGGTCCCTCAACAAGACGCTTCCATTGATGGAGGCAGAGGACAGTAGAAGAAGAGACAGGTGGGTGGACATCCTGTGCATGCAGCCAGGAGCAAGCTGAGCCAGAGCTGATGCTGCACTGACGCCAGGATGACCCTCACATGAGCAAGGGGCCGCAGTCGATTGCCCTCAGCTCTGCTGGGCATGGCTGGATCTTGGTCCTTGCTGTAGGGCTGGATGGTATTCTCTTACCAACACTCCCCACAACCCCAGATTTGAAATCACCTTTCCCGTCCACCAAAACAGGCTTTGGTCTTTAACAGACCTGTAAATGTAGCTGGTAAAGCCTGAGAAAGTTCCTTCAGCAGTGGCTAATGTTGCCTGTGGAGTGACTTCACTGAGATTGTGATGACTGTCCAGTCCTGCCACACGCCAGGACATTCCAGTTGGCCTCAGGGAGCAGCATATACTTTACACCCCAGCTTTCAGGTAACAAGGGCACAAGGAAGGGAAAAATATCACCCAGTAGCAACGGAAAAGCCAGTTAGGCTGGTTTTCCCCTTTGCTCAGGCTGTGAGATGCAACTTAGATGATCCCAATTTCTACAGCTTGGATCTGGTGACCTGGGGGCTATAATCCATTAAGAACAACCCACGTGCCAGGAGCAGCCCTTCCCTCACAGTCCCAGGTCCAGCACCCTCCATTTCACCACAACATGGTCAAGCCTTGGCATCTAATTCAATCCAGAAATTCAGTAGATGGGTTTCACCCCATCAGGCTTTCTAAAAAAATGGCAATACACAAATGAAGATGGGACAAGAGAAAATAAAAAACAGATTGGCAGCTTTGCTATTTTGGCAGGGATTTGATATTTGTTGAGAAGGTGGAAGAATTTATCTTCAGAGAAGCACCTTGAGGTGAGAACTTTGGAGCTGTAATCGGATGAGACAGTGATGTACAAGGTCCAAGAGAAAAAAGCGTGTCCACATTACAGGGACACCTGAGAGGACTTTACACTCATTAGCTGTGGAAATCTGGGGTTGCTGATGTACTTGGGAAGGGTGTAGCAGGAAGAGGGTTCAGGGTACCCACTCCAAAGGACAGCAACAAAGCTCCACAGACAGGAGCACAGGGCACTTTTGGATCATTAGCATGTAGGACAAAAAGGCTCAGGAAGACCCTCTAGTCTGACCCTTTGCACAGGAGGGACGCAGGAGGGGGTGACACAGCACACAGACACTCTGCTCCCTGCACCCCTGCTGGGAAGGAGACACACATGGTGGTCCCAGCACATGCCATCCTTACCTGCACCGATGATCAGCACGTTGGTACTGCTCAGGTTGTAGTTGCTCAAGGAGATGCACTTTGCCATCATCTTTGTCCTCTTCTGTGTCTGAAGAGCCTGTGCCACCACCAAAAAGGAAAGCCATTATCTTTACTCAGCATTAACCTGGGCAGGCAGGCAGGGATGGGGACAACTGCAGTAGTGTCATAAACCACCTTGGATAGGAAGGGAACAACTGGGTCCTTGTACTGAACAAGGACTCAAACCCCTGCTCATCCAAATACCATTCCAATGTCCAGTGTACTACCCTTTACAAGTTACTTAATTAAAATAAATCCACCATCTTCTGCAAATCCATCCAATCCGTCTCTGAAAGGGCAGGTGAACTCTCACCCCACAGAGCTGGGAGGAGAGGGGGAATAGAAAAAACAGTCCAGGTGTGTTCTCGTACAATTCTGCACCAACAGATGAAGTGAGAATGAAGAAGTTCTATCAGGAATTTTATCCTGCACCTGAGCAGAGCTTGTATACCTGATATCCAAAGCTGATGGACTTGTCCAATCCCCCAGATTGGACCCTTACAGCATCCATCAGGCTCTGAGCCACTGGATCTGCACATATATACATGCAAATGAGCACCAAAAGAAGGCTTTTCATGGAAAGAAAGATTGCAGTGGCCTGAATGGGCTTCATTCTGCATCCTGTCAGGGGATGAGAGCCCTCTCTGCCCACACACCAGATTCCTCCCTAGCAGGAGCTGATGTCTGGGCTCAAGAGGGAGAACAGGTGGCCTTTGGCATCACTATGCCACATTCAGACAAGGCCCAAAGGCTGGTGGAAGAGGCCTGTTTCCATGGGCAAACTAAATTAAAAGTTGCTCTGAGCTTAAGGAAACATAGGACAAGTTCAGGACAAACACCTGAAAGATCTGAAACCTTTTGTTCACCCATGCTAGATACTCACACATCCCTCTGCCCAGGCATGGCTTTCCTGCCATAGGACCAAAGGAAAAGCATTTCCCCCACCCCCATGCACACAGAGCAAAACCCAAAAGCATCAGCCTTGGTTTTGGGATGTCAGTGGCCCATTACCTGCTTGCTTGCTCGGATGTACACCTTCTCCTTCTCAATCTTCACCTGAGGGTGACAGAACAGCAGCAGTTTGCAGGACAGTGAGGGCTCCCTCTGGGCAACAGCTAACAAATGGAGCAGCAATGGCAGCAGGTTGCCTGCAAGAGCAGCTCAGGCCATGGCAGGGCTCATCCCAGCTCAAGGCTGTGGGATGTCTCCTGTCTCGTACCAACCATGCACTGACGTTCAGTGTACAACTTAATTTCTATCCCAGGTTTACTTATGGTTTCTCATTCCCAGCCCACTCCTACTCGAGACTGGGCACCTACTCCCCCAGGGTCGCAGGAGGTGTCTGATGCCCATGGGTGGGTGCAAGAAAGGAAGAAGCTAGGTGAAGGTGCTGTTCTCCACTACCCACACCAGCACATCCTCGGAAAACATTCGCTCCATGCCATAAAGAACATTGCTTACCCCAAAACAAAGAGACATTTTGTGGGTGACACTAATCTGAGTGGTGCGGTTGATGCTCTAGAGGGAAGGGATCCATCCAGTGGGACCTGGGCAGGCTGGAGAAGTGACCCATGGGAACCTCATGAGGTTCAACAAGGCCAAATACTTGCTGCAGGTGGGTTGGAGCAATTGACAACATCAACCCAGGTTGGAGGATAAAGGGATCGAGAGTAGCCCTGAGGAGGGCTGGGATTGTTCAGCCTGGAATTGTTCAGCTCTAAGGAGCCCCTTCCAGTGCTTAAAGGAGCTCCAAGAGAGCTGGAGAGGGACTTGAGACAAGGGCCTGGAATGACAGGACAAGGGGGAATGGCTTCTGACTGAGAGAGAGCAGGAATATTGGGAAGGAATTCTTCCCTGTGAGGGTGATGAGGCCCTGGCACAGGTTTCCCAGAGAAGCTGTGGCTGCCCCATCCCTGAAAGTGTCCAAGGCCAGGTTGGACGGGGCTTGGAGCAACCTGGTCTAGTGGAAGGTGTCCCTGCCCAAGATGGTCTTCAATGTCCCTTCCAACTCAAACCAACCTGTGATTCTGTGTTTCCTCTGCTGCTGCAAGGACAAGGGTCTCACCTGGAACCTGGGTAAGCTATCCAAGCCGGGAAAGTCCTCAATGTCACCTGTGCCGATGTTGAAGCAAGCTCCATGCCAGGGACAGCGGACTCTTCCTTTGGACAAAACCCCTGCAGGGAACACAGCAGAGCAGGGTTGATGCTGCCCTTCAGATGCCTGCCATTCTCTGGGATGGCACCTCTCCTCCAGGACACATATCAGCTGATGTGGACCTGGATGGGCAACACTGGACTTCTCTCAACATGCACATTGGACAGGCTCAGCTGTTTGGGATCAACTGGGATTCTATATGAGTAATCCCTTCTAAAATGCCCTGGATGGCAACGTCCCCCACGTCTCTGGGCACAGCTCCAAAGTTGTCTGCTCTGCCTGGGATATAGCCTCCATCTCCAACCAGGATGAGGCTGTCATCTCCACAGTCTCATCATCCTTTTAAGCCCCAGTAGCACCCAGAGGAGGCAGTGCCTCAGAGCATCACTGATTTAAAGCATGTGTGTTCCAGAGCAGACTCTGACACAGCAAGGTGCCTGCACACACCTGGAAGGCACAAGCATGCCCAAAGCCATGTGTTCATTTCTCCAGGTGTTTACTCAGAGGCTGCTACCTTGGACTTTAGCTTTCCCTGCTACAGTGCTGGGGCAGAGCATTGGCTACCATGTGGCCATAGACCAGTATTGAGCTTGTGCCTGAGGCACAGCAGCGCCAGGTGTCATCATCACCACGTGTGCGGATGGAAGGGCAGCCTCTGCACTTACTGCTGCAGCAAATTCTCCAGTGAGATCCCTGTATGACAGCCAGTCTGAGGAATGTACCCACAGGTCTCTGAAAGGGCAGGTGAACTCTCACCTCCAGGGCAGCATGGGGCTCTTCTGCCCTGCTCAACTGGCTCTCACCCCAGGTGAGGGGCTGAGAGCATGGCTGCTACAGCCAGCACTGCTATTGGGCCAGTGATGCCCAGAGGACACACAATGCTCTCCTGTCTTCCCCAGCGTCCCACTTCCAGTAAAGAGTCCTCCCAGCCTCAGTTTGGGTGATGCACTTCCACACAGAGCCAGACCAGCACTGCCTGATGCTGCTGCTTAGGTTCTGGGCAGGGACCTGCCTGAAGCCGATGCTGAGAAAGTGCCACGATGCATATTTTTAATGCCAAGATGGGAAACCCCCACACCTCATTCCACTTCAGTCAATAACATGAGGAACATTCTTCTTGCTACTGAAAGGATCTCATCAGCCCAAATAGATTCCTCCTTTTGATTTAGTCACTAGCAGAAGCCCCAGCCCTGTGACCAACAGTGGCAGCTGGTGTCAACTGCAACCAGAGCTGTGGCAAAGTGCTCTGGGGAGGTTTGTGCAACCCCAGCCTGCTGCCCGTGCCTTCCCCAGCCAGAAGATGCCCAGGTGATGCTAAGTGTGTGGCATGGAACTGCCCTGTGCCCGGCAGCACAGCTAGGTGAACACTGGGCTGTCCTTTGCCCACCCTGTGATGCCCTCAGTTGCTCTCCCAGGACAGGATGCAAGACTGACCTTTGACCAGTGGAGCCCCATAGTGGGGACACTTGTGTCCCACGGCGTGGAACTCACCACTCTCCTTGATGAGCAGAGCCTTCCCACAGCCGAGGTCCACTTCCCTCATCCTGGGGAGGAGGAGTATGGAAAAAGATGACAGAGCATCCACCTCACAGCAGATGCCACCCCCTCACCCTACAACCCAGACCTGGTCCTGCCAGCTCCCTGCCTCCTTCAACTTGCTCCAGGTGACTACAGGCATGGGTCAGTCCTTGTCACCAGGCCAGTTTTGGAGGTGGATCTGTTGTCCCCAGCGTGGGGCACATCCAAGCTGAGTGGCAGCATCTTAATCCATCACTGTGTCAAGAGGAAGCCCAAAGCACCTCCCCAGCTGCTGGGGAAGCTGGTAGTGGGAGCAAGAACCCAAACTGGTTTTACTGCAACCTCACCTCCCCTCCTGGCCCCAGTGGATAAGCAGGTCCCTGCCAGGCTTGTATTCAGTCTTCGAAAGCAAACACAACATGTCTCGGAGTTGAAAACCAGGAGGGGCAACTCTGCCCCTTGGAGTCTGCCTCCCACACCTCAGGGGTTTGTTCTCTGGTCCTGGCCATGTCACAGGGTCAACAACATGGGTCACCTTTTCCTGATAAATCCCTCACGACAGTAGACACCCGTGTGTGACCTCCTTGATGTTTCCCTCAGCTGTTTTTGCGGAGTGAAGCTCACACAGCAACCTCCTCCTAGCACCAGGCTCCAGGCCTCAGCTCTAAGTCACCAAGGGGCTTCACCTCCTCAGTGCTGCTGGGTTCAGCCCTGCTCTGCACAGGAGCAAACAAACCTTGAGCCATTCTCATGGAAGGTTCTCTTTGACATCTCCCAGTTTTTGATAGAACCAGAGGGAACAGTCTTAAACTAAAAGAGGATCAGTTTAGTTTACATACAGGAAAGAAGTTTTTACAATGAGTGGTGAGGCACTGTCATAGGTTGCCCAGAGCGGTGGTGGATGCCTCATCCCTGGAAACATTCAAGGTCAGGTTGGACATTGATTTCAGGTTAGACCTTGGATCTTCATTTGTTTTTTTCAGCCTGGAGGAGACTGAGGGGAGACCTCATCACAGTCTGCAGCTTTCTCATGAGGAGCAGCTCTGATCTCTTTTCTCTGTGACCAGTGACAGGACCCGAGGGAATGGCTGGAGCTGTATCAGGAGAGGGTTAGGCTGGATATTAGGAAAAGGTTCTTCCCCCAGAGGGTAGTTGGACACTGAACAGGCTCCCCAGGGCATTGGTCACATCCCAAAGGTTGTCAGAGCTCAAGGAGTGTTTGGACAATGCTCTCAGGCACAGGGTGGGATTGTTGGGGTGTCCTGCTGCAGGGCCAGGAGTAGGACTTGATGATGATCCTTGTGGGTCCCTTCCAACTCAGGATATTCTAAAATTCTATGGACAGGGTTCTGAGCAACCTGGTCTAGGAGAGAGCCCTTATTTTGCAGGGAGTTGGACATGGAGTACAGAGCTGCTGTCCCCTGGAAACTTCCCCTCTTCCAGCCAGAAAGCCTATTCCCACACAGTTTGATGTTTATCTGGAAAGCCTGGTTGCTCCCGTTGCACGGAGTGGATCATCTCATCTACAGCCAGCCCCGACATTGCCTCTGGGCTACCAAACATACCACTGTGCCCACAGCAAACCCCACCCGCTCAAGGTGGCCACTGGCCAAGTGTGATCCCGGAATGCTGTTCATGCATGCCAAGTTCCAGGGTCTTGGAAGAATGGGACTGACTTTGCATGCTCATTCCTCTTCAGGTAACATCCCAACTCTATCCCACCACTTAAACCCGGGCTACAGAGACGCTTGTCCCACTCTCTTGTTTCCATGGAGATGACAATGGGGCTCAGCCCACCAGCACTCCTGTCACACCTTCAAACCCACCTCGGACAAGACTTTGGGCAGGTGCCTGCTCCACCAGCATCAACTGCCTAATGACAAATGCTCAATTTCCCAATTTTCTTGTCAATTTCCTGATTTCCTTGCCATCATGGGCAAAAACCATCAGATTTCATCACACCTGCCCTCAGAAGCAATTTTGTCCCAGTAACTTGGATGCCCTGCTCCCTTGTGATGCAGCTCTGCCCACTCTCCATGCAGGACACTTGGCACTTGGAGCTCTTCCCTCAGCACAAGCAGAACAGAGCAGTACAAGTCCTGCTGCATTCCTCAGCTGATTAAACCTGTTCAATGGCAACCATAACTCCCTGGGAAGATAAGATAAGTGAAAGAGTTTACAGCTTACTCAAGGAGCTGTGTGAGCTGAGAGAGTCAAAACCAAGACCTGGTGTCTTCAAAGCAGCACACAGCCACCTGCAAGGCTCCAATCCTGCACTCACTCCAGAGAAATCCAGAGAATTATTTACACTGTCCTGCAGCCTGCTAAACTGTTTACTCAGTTGGGAATTTGTCCTGTTGCCCCAATCCACTCCCCACTTGGGAAGCATCAGCTAAAACTCAGCTCTGGCCAGCAAAGGACCTTTGCTCAAGAGCTGTGGGAGCACTGGGGGCTGTTTTCTGTCCCCCCACTTAGCCTGCTGGGAGGCTGGCTGGCTGCAGCAGCACCAGTTTATCCATCAGTACCTTTTACTGGTTCTGCTGAGGTCATGATGGTACCAGAAAGACAGAAAAGATGGGCAGAAAGCACCCTGTGCTTGCAGACTCCACTAACACAATGCAGTGGTGCCTGAACCCTAGTGCCAGTGCTGCGGTCGTGCCCTCGCACACCCCTGCCCAGCACACTACCTGGGAGAAGCATCCTGGAAAATCCCTCTGGGTACCAAAGCAAGAGGACTCCTTCGGCCTGGCCCATTGCTTTACATGAGCCTCTCACAGCACCTCTCTCTTAATATGGACTCAGCCTGCTAGAAAACAGCTATTCTCAATCTAAAATATCTAGTGGTGGCACATCTACTGCCACAGTCGGAGGCATGTTTCAGCAGCTGATGCACACAAGACTGAAGTGTGGGCCCGGTTCCCAGACCGATGCCAGTTCCCAGCCCAGGCTTTAGCTGAGGAGTTCCCTGCTATGGCCACCTGTAGCCATGTGTGTTCTCACAGGCTGCAACCAGCTCTTCCTCACCTTCCCTGCAGCCAGCAGAGCTCTCCAAATCTTTTCATCTACCATACAGCCTGCTTCCCAGTCAATCTATTCATAGAATCACAAAATCACAGGATGGTTTGGGTTGGAAGGGACCTTAAAGACCATCTTGTTCCATCCCCCTGCCATGGGCAGAGACACCTTCCACTAGACCAGGTTGTTCCAAGCCCCGTCCAACCTGGTCTTGAACACTTGCAGGGATGAGCCAGCCACAGCTTCTCTGGGCATCCTATGCCAGGGCCTCATCACACTCAGAGGGAAGAAGTTCTTCCCAATATTCCTGCCCTCTTTCTCTGTAAAGCCATTCCCCCTTGTCCTGTCCCTCCATCCCTTGTCCCAAGTCCCTCTCCAGCTCTCTTGGAGCTCCTTTAGGCACTGGAAGGGGTTCTAAGGTCTCCCTGGAGCCTTCTCTTTTCCAGGCTGAACACCCTCAGCTCTCTCAGCCTGTCTCCAGAACAGAGGGGCTCCAGCCCTTGGAGCACCTCTGTGGCCTCCTCTCTAGCAGCTCCATGTCTTTCTTGTGCTGAGTACTCCAGAGCTGGAGGCAGTACTGCAGGTGGGGTCTCACAAGCGCAGACCAACCTAATTTCCCTACATCCTTCTTGCTTTGGGACACTAAAGCAGAGCACACTCTTCTAGTAACACCCCAACACAAAGTAGCAGACACAGAAGACTCCATGACACTCGGATGTTCAGGCATTAGCCTACATCTTGACCCTGGAACAGTATCGTCCCTGTGCAACTAGTATTTCCTGGGGTAGTCTCCCCTTTTTGCTTCACTCCATCTACGAGGCAATTCCAGTTGCTGCCTGTGCTCTGCCCTGGGTCCTCTTGCTGTCACTACCCACCTGCACAGGAGGCAGCAGGTTACCCATCGTCTCCCAGGAGAAACTGCAGCCACTTTGCTTGCCCTCCATTCCAGAGTATCTCCACTGTCTCCTCATCCCCACCTCTCACTGGAGGAGGACATTTGCCTCCAGGTCCCAATGGCCCTCCAGCACTTCTCTGGGCTCAGCGGAGCTTGAAGAGTCATAGAATCCTGAGTTGAAAGGGACCCACAAGGATCATCATCAAGTCCTACTCCTGGCCCTGCAGCAGGACACCCCAACGATCCCATCCTGTGCCTGAGAGCATTGTCCAAACACTCCTTGAGCTCTGACAGCCTTGGGGATGTGACCAATGCCCTGGGGAGCCTGTTCAGTGCCCAACTACCCTCTGGGGGAAGAACCTTTTCCTAATATCCAGCCTAACCCTCTCCTGATACAGCTCCAGCCATTCCCTCGGGTCCTGTCACTGGTCACACAGAGAAGAGAGCAGTGCTGCCTCTCTGCTGGTCCTTATGAGGAAGCTGCAGACTGTGATGAGGTCTCCCCTCAGTCTCCTTCTACAGACTGAAAAAGCTGTCATGGTTTAGGAATGGTATTCCCCAATTTAGTGCTCCCACTAAAAACCCACTGCTGCTCGCTCCCTTCTCTCCTTCCCCCTTCCCTCCTGTGGCTGGTTGGAGAGAAGAACTGGAGGTACAAAAGGTAAAGATCACCGGTTGAGATAGAACAATTTACTGGAAAACAGCTGTGAAATAAGAAAAGGAACAGTAACAGCAACAATATTAGTAACAAAAGTGTACAAAAGAGAGAGTGATTTACATGCAAAAATGCTCACTACCAAGTTGGACCCAATCTCAGCCACACTACCCCACTGCTCCTTCCACGGGACCAGCATTACCCAAAACACTTCTTCCAGCTCAGAACCAGCATTACTGCCACACTTGCTCAACTGGAAGGAATCCCTTCTTCCCCCTGCCTCCAGAAATGACATGAGGTGTTATAGAATAACCTCTGGGTCCTGGTCATGGCCCCTCCTGGCTACTGCAAAAATTAACTCTGTCCTGGCTGGAACCAGGACACAAGCCAAGTGACCTCAGCTGCTCCTCATCACATGAAGACTTAATCCAAGAGAGTCCAGTGCATCCCTCTGTAGAATGGTCTAATACATAAATTCCCATTGCAATGAAAAAAAACTAATTCATTCCTGGATGAACTTACCTAATAAGAAGAATTTATGGCCCATGAAGCCCCTAAAGTTTAGCCCAAAGTAGCCCGTAGTACATGGATTATTCTAGGATATTACTACAGGCAATACTTCAATTTAAAGCAAACAGCTGCCAGACTCCTGGTGTGTCCCACACACCTGACATTGCTCCCTCACTGGAACGAAAGCTATTCCAAACTATTTTCTTCCACGCATGGACGGACCCGCTGAGATGTCGGCCATCAGCCTGATGGAACCCGTACTTCTACCCCAGAAAAGAGGCATCAGCCTGTAAAGTACAGTAATGGGGACAGCCACTTTTTAGACTTCAGAAAACTCTTAAATCAGGGCAGTGAATGTGTCCAGCTGAAATGTGTTCTCATTTGCAAAAGAGCTGAAAAACTGCATCCTTAGTGAAAGAGCAAATTGATGAGCTCAGCTGGAAGAGCCAGACACTGCAGCCAGGATAGAACACACGGCCTTCCCCATCAGCTCCCCCCATGCACTTCTTGTGCTGCTTTGTAAAATCACTAAGGCTATAAATTCATAAAAAATTGTCTGGGTTGGCTAATACAAGCTGAGCAGACCCTCCTGAGAAATTCTGCTACAGAACATCACCTCTTTCTGAGACAAGTCCCAGCACAGGCCATGCCGGGAACAGCAGACCTTCTGGTAAAAAACAGTTGTCACTTGTCCATGATATAATTTTTTAAGACTTAAAAAAATGTTTATTTTACTAAGTTCAACTATTATCTCCAGAAACTCTAAAAATAAGACAAGGTGTTCAGATTGGGTTATAAGGTCTCTCAAGTTTTATCTGCAACAAGTTTAGGCACTTACTGTCCATTCTCCAGGTCCTTCACATGGCAAACAGATGCTTCCACCATGTCCTTTGGGTTGTGGTAGGGATTGCTGGCAATTGGATGTTCCTCGAGGTGGTAGTGCCGGGCAGTTCCATTGACTTTGTAGATCAGGGGGCTGGCTTTCCCATTGGGTGACATCTCCTCCTTGCTTCTCTCCTTCTCAGGTATCACAACTTCAATTTTCACTTCAACTGCAGGAACAAACAGAAACCTTCATTAAAATGAAGCCAGAAGTTTTGCTGCCATTCTGTCTCTCCCTCCTCTCTTGAACTTGGAAAGGAGCTGACAGACATCAGAACAGACATTTTTTGCTGGCTTCCCTGAGAAGATAAAACATTTAATATCAAACTTGGCTTGATTACCTGAGCCCATTATCCCTCTGTTCTTTCTGCATTGGGCACTTTGTATTCATAAAGTACATATTCTTGCAAGCAGAGTCATGAGTCATCAGTGCAAAACAACCCCTCAGCCACAGTTCCTGTTCTGTTCAGTGGAAAACAGCTTCAAGCAGCTTTATGTGAGGCACGCCAAGGCCTCTGGGGTTCAGGCAGACTTCAAAAAACCCTTTTTAGTTGTTCGTAGGTAACATTAACTGAAAGAGAAAGCCAACACTGCATGGTGCATAAAGCTGCTTCATTAGATGAAGATCAATTAAAAAAGAACTAGAAATACTAAAATTATTTCCATATGAGGTTTTGAGTGTAGAGTGAGTCCTCAGCATTAGGTAACATATGTCCATCACCGAACAGGTCTGACAACAAACCATCCCTGTTCTGGGGACCAGGGTACCCAGGGACACATGGGAGCAAGGACAGTGGGGAACAGAGGGGCTCTTCTCAGTCACCCAGGTGAGGATATGCAGAAGTTACTGTGAGAGTGGTGAGGCCCTGGCACAGGTTTCCCAGAGAAGCTGTAGCTGCCCGATCCCTGAAAGTGTTCAAAGCCAGGTTGGATGGGACTTGGAGCAACCTGGTCTAGTAGAAGGTGTCCCTGCCCATGCCAAGGGGCTGGAATGAGACGGTCTTTAAGGCCCTTTCCAACCCAAATCATTCTATCAATGTATGTTCATCCGAGATCCCTGAAGGGCAGCACTCACCCATCCTCCCCACTCACCCACCCAGCTGCACCCCCGCCCACTGCCTCATGCCTGGGGTAGGCAGACTGGGCACAGAAGCATCAGAGAAAGCCACTGATGAGCTCTCACATCACAAAGTGGAAAACATCACTTTATCTCCTAGGGACTTCATAAAGCTGAAGCCATTAATATTAATAATAAACCCCAGTGAGTTCTATAGCAAGCCAGAGGGAAGTGCCAGAGATTGGTGAAGTGTCTCAAGCACAAAGGAGATCATTGAGCTTTCCCCATCTTATAAAGGTCATGAACAGGAAAAGCTGTGCAGAAGATAAAAATTAGAGTTCATAAACTAAACAGGTTAAGGAAAGGCCAAAAAAGAGGGTAAAAATAAGACCTACAGCAAGAGAAGGGCCCTGGGTCTTTCCAGCCTCATCTGTTGTCCCAAAACTTTTACTGCAAGAACATTGAGAGGACAATGGAAGAACAAGTCAGGGGGGAAGGCCATTTATTTTGGAAGGGAGAAAAGTAAGTGGCCACAGCTGCCCAGGCGCTGGAAGTAGGCAGCTGTCTCGGGAGTCCTGCAAGTTTCTGCTGTTTATGTCAACTCAGCAGGGCAAGGGATGGTGTAGCTTTTTGCCAATGAGCCAAATCTCTGCACTCACCAGGGCAGGGTTCACCAGGGGTACTGATCCAGGAAAGTGATTTTCCATGTATGAATGCTGAATTAGCGGAAAACGGCAACTTCTCTTACTCTGTTGCAGCTGCAGGAGTTAATGCAAACTAACAGGGCCAGCACCATGCATTAAAAAAACCAATACTGCTATATGCAAATCTATTCCTGGAGCTCTAGAGAAGCAGCCCAGCTGCTGCAGGTACCCAGTGAAGAGGCTGCTCTCCATGAGTACTGCTTTCCTAGGGCACTGGGAGAAGCAGACATGGATTTTCGAGGACAGAACTAGGAAATATAACGAATGCCCATTTATGCCAGTCCAGGTGAAATACTTTTGGCCAAAGAAACAGGAGGCTCATGTCATATGATTTCACAGTCAATCAGATTTATCTGCAGCAAATTAGGCTGAGCATCCTTGCAGCCAGACTGCAGAGCCAGAACATGTCTCAGGATGAGACCAGGCTGGCATCAGCAAAGCCAGCAGCTCTGAGCCCTGCAGTGACATTGATATCAGTGAATTCACCCTGCAGGAAACAACCTCCATGTCTCACTTGGCTGATGCCCCAGGGCTCTGATTTTCAGAGCACATTTGGGTCAGGTGAGCACTTGGAGTGCTCACTAGTCCATGGGCATATGAACCTAGAGGGATGAAGACGGAAATGTAGCTCTGCTCTCTTCACTTCTTCCTCAGTCAGAAAAACATATGTAGGAAGCAGCAGGTCTCTGGCACCAGTATGTGACTTGGTATTGCTTGGGACTCACTAACACTGCTGGACAAATGTCCAGAGCAAAAGAAAAAGAGGTATAAAGCCGTCTCCCTTCCTATTTCAGGCTCCACACTTCACCACTTGCCTCTGTGGGAGGCAATTCCCACTTGCCTCTCGCCAACATTTTATCCCCCCATCTCCCCCTTCTCATCACTCTTGGTTCCTACATGAGGTGTCCCTCTGGTCTGAAACCTGCATTCCCGAGAGATGATCCCTCCAGGAACCCAGGGCTCAGCAGCACCTGAGCTGATCCAGCAAACTGCTTCAGTTGCCATCAGGGAAAATGACATTTAAATGAAATACTTATAAACCCAAGTCTAATTCTGAAATCTGGCTGGTAGTGGGGCTGGGGCCAGCGCACTCGAGCCCTTTGACAGTCCTATCCTATAACTGCTAGAAGAGAGCCTGGACCTTAAAGCAAATTGTTTGGAAAGTTTTAGGCATGTGACTACAAATCTGGACAGCAGACAGCTCCTCAGGGACATAGAGATATGGATATCGATATAGATACATAAGTATGGGTATAGATATAGGTATAATTATAGATTATATAGATAAAAATATAAATAGATATGTATAGGTATAGATAAAACAGAAGAGAGAGAGACAGAGAGATGTGCCAGCTTGCCCTGCGCCATCAGCATCACATATATAAACATATCCCATACATAAACATATGTGTTTATGTACATTTTTAATATATATCTATACATACATACACACATTTTATATTTATATATATATATATATATATATATATATATATATATATATATAAGACTCCAAGTTAACAATCTCCAATCAGCCACAGTAAGAGACAGATTCCAGGCAAACCTTCAGACTAGGCTCGAAAACATTCCCACAGCTTCTGCAGATTCCTCTCCTGAAACAATCTGGCACCATATTAAAAACAGCATCCTGCAAACCTCTGAAGAATCCTTAGGGTTCTCCCTCAAGAAGAACAAGGACTGGTTTGATGAAAACAACCAAGAAATCCAAGACTTGTTGAGGAAGAAGAGAACCGCCCACCAAGCACACCTTGCACTGCCATCCTGTCACGCAAGAAAAACAGCCTTTTGTCTTGCATGCAGCAAGCTCCAGCAGAAACTCTGTGACATCCAGAACAAGTGGTGGATCGATCTAGCTGATAAAACTCAATTATGCGCAGATACGGGTGATCACAAAGGTTTCTATGAGGCCTTGAAAACAGCATACGGGCCTACATACCAGGTCCAAAGCCCTCTACTCAGCGCTGATGGTCAAACCCTTCTAACAGATAAAACCTCCATTCTGAATCGATGGTCTGAACACTTCCAGACTCTTTTCAGTACCAACCGTGTAGTCCAAGATTCAGCAATTCAGTCCATCACACAACAACCAGTAAAGTATGAATTGGATACTGCCCCCACTTTAGGAGAAACTCTCAAGGCCATACAGCAGGTGAAAATCGGCAAGGCAGCTGGGGTTGATGGAATTCCACCTGAAGTCTGGAAACATGGGGGCCTTGCACTCCACACCAAATTTCACGAGTTTGTGGTGCACTGTTGGGAGCTCGGTGAACTACCATCAGACCTTCGTGATGCTGTCATCATCACTTTGTACAAGAAGAAAGGTATTAAATCAGATTGCTCAGACTATCGTGGTATTAGTCTGCTCTCCATTGCTGGCAAAATCCTGGCAAGAATACTCTTGAACAGACTAATACCCGCTATAGCAAAAGGAATTCTACCTGAAAGTCAGTGTGGTTTCAGAGCCAACAGGAGCACCACAGACATGGTATTTGTCCTCAGACAACTGCAAGAGAAGTGTAGGGAACAGAACAAAGGTCTTTATGTAACCTTTGTCAACCTCACCAAGGCTTTCGATACTGTGAGCAGAAGAGGTCTGTGGCAGATTTTGGAACGTTTAGGATGTCCCCCCAAGTTCCTTAAAATGATCATCTCACTCCATGAGGATCAGCACGGCCAAGTCAGATATGGCAACACACCTTCTGAGCCCTTCTTAATTAAGAATGGTGTGAAACAAGGCTGCGTTCTTGCTCCTACCCTATTCACCGTCTTCTTTAGCATGATGCTCCAAAGGGCCACAGGAGACCTCGATGATCAGGATGGTATCTACATTCAATATCGTACTGATGGAAGCCTATTCAGCCTAAGGGGACTGAAGGCCCACACCAAGACATTAAACTACCTTGTCCGGGAGCTGCTTTATGCTGATGATGCTGGCCTTGTTGCCCACACAGAAGCAGCTCTGCAGCGTTTAACAACCTGCTTTGCAGACGCTGCTGAGCTCTTTGGGCTGGAAGTCAGCTTAAAGAAGACAGAGGTCCTCCATCAACCTGCACTTCGGGAAGTCCCCCATCATCCCCACATCACCATTGGCCAATCAGAGCTCAAATCAGTCCAGCACTTTAATTACCTTGGTAGCCTCATCTCCTCAGGTGGTAAGATCGACGGAGAGATAGACAACAGGTTAGCTAAGGCATATATAGTGCTTTTGGAAAACTCCACAAGAGAGTATGGTGTAATAAACACTTGAAGAAAAACACCAAGATCAGTGTTTACAAAGGCATAGTGTTGTCTACTCTCTTATATGGTTCCGAATCATGGGTCATCTACAGCCACCACCTGTGTGTCCTAGAATGCTTCCATCAACGCTGCCTCCGTACAATCCTTAACATCCGCTGGTCAGATTATGTGACCAATACATCTGTTCTAGAACAAGCAGCAGTCACAGGCATTGAGGCCATGTTACTGAGAACACAGCTGTGCTGGGCAGGGCACGTCTCCAGGATGAAGGACCAACCACCCCCTCCCTAAGATCCTGCTCTATGGTGAACTTGCCACTGGCTGCCGCATGAGAGGAGCCCCGAAGAAAAGATAAAAGGACTCCCTGAAACAACATCTCAGCCTTGGCCATATTGATCACCATAACTGGTCTACTCTGGCCTCAAATCGGGAGGCCTGGAGACACACCATCTATAACGCAGCTGTCTCCTTTCAGAATGCAACAGGATCACTCTCGAGGAAAAAAGACAACGCAGAAAGAACCGCGCCTTGCAGAATACACCATCTAAGGAGTCTTTCTGCTGTGCCTTTTGCAATCGGATATGTCTGTCTCGTATTGGCCTCATAAGCCACCAGCGTGCCTGTAGCAAATGTGGATAGTGCCTTCCCAAATCTTCGTTCGCGAAGCCTAGCCGTGAATATATATATTAGGGACTAGGAGGCCAGGGCTGTAAGTATTTTATAAGAATGCAGAAAAAAGCAGAGGAACCAGCTGAGCAGGTGCTCATATCAAACATCCACATACATCACAGCACTGTCAGCTCTCACTTTTCAAAAATCCTGAGTCAGCTCTCCAAAGTCACAGAATTGTTTAAAATACAGAGTCTTAACAAGACTATAAATTTTTACTCATTTTTTTTTTCTGCCAGGTTTTCAGCCTTTAGGTCAAGCACTGCTGAGACCCTCCACATACACTCAGAAACTGTGTCCCAATACCATTCATCACAGTTGGCTTATGTGTTGTTTTCACACAGTGGCCACAATGCTCTTGTGCTTTGCCTCATGCTATTCACATAAGCAGTAAGTCCTTAACACCCCACTACATCTCCTGTAATTTTATTCCCTCTCCATCACTATTCACGACCTTGTGGGACAAGCCAAAGCCTCTGCCTGCTTTTGGGCATGTACCTGAGACATGAGGCTAGATTTGTTGGCATAGACCCCAGAGCAGGAGCTGGCAGGTAGCTGGGCAGCAGTGCAGGGTCACGGACATTATTTAAAAAAAATAGGGTAATTAAAAGACTTCTTTATCACAGAACTGGGTTTCCAGTATGGTTCAGAGCCCTTCTAGAGGCTAAATTTAAATTATGGGTATCAGATCACTGAAAGTGTACTAAAAATGAGAGAAACCAGGAAAATACTGAGTTAACATGGGAAGAGAGAATTGCCATGCATCAAGAACTAACTTGAACCTGGGGGAGTCTGGGTAAGATGAAGATGCCTGGCCATGGGGCACAGAGAAGCTGAGCTGACGAGGGGAGAGCAATGAGTGTGCCTTCCCCAACCCCAAAACCATGTGATGCCTCGAAGTGTACTGCTCAGGGGCTGAAGGCACAAGGCAGAGGAGCACTGAGGGCAGGGAACAGCCTGGTATGGGCTGTATGGTGCCAACAGTTCCAGGAGCAGTGGAAACCAAAAAAGCATCAAGGGATGATGCTGGAGGGAGCAGCAGGATACAGCGAGAACAGCCAGAAATCTCAGTTTACCCCATCAGGGTTTATTTTCCCAAAGCCAGCACAGAGTAAATCCACCACCATGGGACACGTTTGGGGGCTCACTGTGCCCTGCCAGAGCTGTGCTTTCCAGGCACTCCCATTCTGCCTCAACTACAAACCCCAATGAGAGCAACTTCAGGTGGTCTCAGAGAGACTCCAAACCATTTCTATTGACCATTTCTTCCCCTCCTTCCAAGGCAAGGCTGGATGGGGCTTGGAGACACCTGATCTTGTAGAAGGTGTCCCTGCCCATGGGAGGGGATCAGAACTAGTTGGTCTTTACAGTCCCTTCCAGCCCAAATCATTCTGTGATTCTATCATTCTATTAAAAATGACAGCTCGTGACAAAATCACCATGTCAAATGTCCCTCGCTCTGCTCTCCTTCTCCAGATGATGTGTCAGTAAATGCCACGCTCCCAAAAACCAGGATGTAGGACTTGCCAGCCAAGCCTGGGGGCACCCTCAGAGCCAAGCTCAGGTCACACAGGCAACAGCACCCTCTCTAGTAGCATGCAGCATGCCTGGGAATGGAGCGTGTTCCCTGCTAAACACATTCTCTGTGCAAAGGTAAAGCCCACCCCCAGACATTTCATGTGAAGTGGAGCAGCTGCTTTGCCCCACCATCAAGCACTGAGCCCAGCAGGAGAAGGATACTGACAATTTATAGGTTTTGAAGCCACTCTCCCACACCCTGTGCAGAGATGGTGCTGCTGCAGCTCACAAGAGCTGGCACTGGTGCATGATGGTTTCTGTCACCCATCATCCTGCCCATCATCCTGCCCATCATCCTGCCCAGGCTATGCTGCAAGAGCGGGTGCTGGGATACCACACAGCTGCCAGCTCATCCCCAGTGCATCACACACTCAAGACAAACCCCAGGAAAAAATTATACAGAGACTGAGAACTGGGCCTTCAGAAGAGAATCTGGCATCACGGGACTGCAGCACTGCAGATAACAGCAGATTACTTCATTGCTTGAACATAAGCTCTTAATTAAACACTGAAACATCAGGACAGGGACAGGCACTGCAGCAGCAGCCAGATCTGGGGGCTGGCCAGTGGTACAGTCAGCACATCTATTTAGGGATCCAGAACTCCACTCCCTAAAGCTCTTGTACCACTCATCTGCTCCTCAAAAAGTGACATTTGTGCAATGCCAAGGTTATCTTGAGAGTGCTCAAGGGACTAAGGGTCTCTCTTGGATATAAGGAGATGGAGCAGATAAGGACCTTGTGTACATCTTAAAAAAGTGTCTGTATCAATTCCCTTGACTTCAGGTTGCATCTGAAATATTCCCTTCATGTGGAAATAGAGCAAATGTGGAAATGGAGCAAATAACTCTATTCTGTCCCTGCTTCTTACTTGGACAGGGAATAGGTGAATTCTTAGAAATAGTAAAGTCCAGTACTCAGCTCCGACGGTGTACAATTCTCACATGAAATGGTTGTAAAACCCCTTTGCTAGAACAATCAGTATCCTCAAATGTCTCTGTTTACCTCTCTGCATTTGCAGGTTTTATAACTGTGAGATGATATAAAGATATAAACAGGGTTTTCATGAAGAAAACTTACAGGTCACAGTGTCCAATGTCATATTACCTTGGTGATGACCCATAACGTAACCATAGTACAGGTCAAGGGCAGAAAATCACCTTTATTTTCTCCTCGTGCCTTACACAAAGGTAGGGACCTCACTCCTTGGATGTTCAGTGGTTCACAACTCCTATTGCCCTTCTGATCTTTTGAGTCCTTCAACCTGAAATCCCCCCTGCCTGAGGCAGTGAAGACAAATTGCCAAGAAAAGGTCCCCAAAAGACATCTGTCCACCCACAAAGGCTACACATGGATGCTAACTGATCTGACAGCACCACTGATTCCCCCTGCCCTGGGGCACAGGGAGTTAGGAGCTCTCCTCCATGGCAGCTTTGGCAACACTGCCATGCCCCCCATGCACCAACATCACTCCTTGGGATCCTGCACTGGGGTGATGTGGGTGCTGCCGGGTATGATGAGTGTGGGTGACCATGTGGTGCCTGCTCATGCCCAGCCTGCTCAGGACAAGGCTGAACATCGACACTTCCACACCACCCTTCAATCAGCCAGTTTGCCTGGGCTGGCAGCACCACAGCCCCTGCCCCTCCCACATACACCCACCTTCCCCAAACCACAAAGCAGGGAGCCCACCCAGCCCAGCCATGGTGGGACCATGCCAGGCAAGGGGCAGGGGGGGACATCCTTGATGTCCAGGTGCCTACAACTGCTTTCCCCAAGGGAAGCAGTACACATGGACAGGCTTTGCCAAGATAATAAAATCCCAACAACAGAGCAGCCCCAGGACTGCAGGGAAAAAAATAAGGGCTGGCCAGTGAGTGACAAAGCTGCAGCAGAAGGAAGGTGCTGGAGTCCCATGTGTCTCTGTGGGGATGGCTGTCACACAAACCTGCCCAGGCGCACGAGAGGGGCAGCTCTGCCCCAGGTACAGCAGAAAGGCAGAAGCAGGAGGGTGGTGAGGTACAAGGAGACGGGACCGGGCGGAGCTGCCTCCCTCATGCTGCAGGGTGAATTTCCCTCCCACCTGCCCACCACCACCCTACCACCACCTACCACCCCCCCCAGGCAGCGCTGCTGCCACCCCCCCCCAGCTCCCTGCCTGGGAGTGAGAGAGCCGAGGAATCTGGAGAGACTAAGAACCCAGTAATCCTCCCTGCGGGAGCCAAGCATTAACATTCCCCCGGCCAGCGTCCACTGCTGACCTACTTCTCCCACGGGGACGGCAGGATGGGGGCTCGGCCTTGGAGGGCAGTCACCTGGTTTGGGCTTGGAGAAGCATCCTCCCATGGCGCCGTGCGGGACAGGCAGCGGGGCCAGGGGCAGGCAGGTCACCAAGGGCGTGGGCACATCCTCGCATGGTACACGGCCAGCTCGCGTGTCTCGGCTCCGGCGTCGATCCCACGTGCCCTGGGTAGAAAAGTACTGTGAGAGCCGGTGCCGGCCGGGAGGGCGAGTGCAACAGGGAGGGGAAGGCAAACTCGTGACAGCGCTGCTGCCTGTGCCCACAGTTGCAGGCAGGAGCGGGCAGCACCAGTACAGTGGGCACACATAGCACAGGGGCACTGAGCCCCATGCACCCCCAGTGACCTGAGGGACAAGCGGACAGTGTGCTGCTTGGGTCACTGTGCTGGGAGCCACTGGTAAATTCAGTTATGAAGTTTATAAATTCAAACATCAAAGTTAATTACAAAAACCCTCATATCATTTATGGTCAGATTTTAATAACTTTTCAAAGCCCTGCCTCTGGGAATTAAAACTCTTAAGCACACAGGTCACAGCCTAAATACAATGATTAAACCATAAATACATTTCAGTTGTTTTTTTCCTGTTATTATTAGGTATTCCAGTTATGCTCATTCCTGCAGAAATGCCATTGGCTTTGGAACAATTAATTAAAGGGTTTTTGATATCAGACCATTTTGTATCAACATCTTTTTTTTATACTATTAAGACCAATTTTTTAAATGTTTGAAATCAAGTTGTGTTTCTCTTATTAGCTTTGACTTGGAGTGATCTCAGATTTGGTACAAAGAATTCAGATAAACCTTCTCAGTTACACTGCATGACTGAAAACAGCAAAGACTCATCCAACACAGTGGCAATAAAATAGTATATTTAATTCATTTTACCCTCTCCTACCTGAATTGAACCAATTTACTATGGGTTTGCCATATATTATGCAAAAAGCCCTCTGATCTGGGCAGGAAATTAAAAACCATTGCCAAATTATATTTTAAGACAGACAAGGTAGGCTTTTCTGTAGCTTACAAAGTGCCTCAAGGTCTTTACTATGAGAATTAGAGAAGTGCCAGGAGACAGACAACAAGCCCTACACCTTCTCTTCTTTGCTTAAACACCAACTCAAAATAACAGGATGTATCTCTCTGTTTCCAGAGGGATGCCATGCATGGCAACACCTCCACCAAGCCCCAAGTGTGTTGCAGAAGCACCTTCAGAGCCTGGAGCATGTTGAATGAGCAACCCAAGCCACAGGGGAACACGAGCCTGGTGCCTTGCACATGGTGCAAAGCAGACATATGCTATTTGATACTGAGCACTGAGGGTACCAGTTTGGAGCAGACTATTAACAGAGCAAAACCAACCCAACATTCCCCACAGAGTGATCAAATGTGTGTGGAGCCGCTAAAAAATTTCATGTGCAAAGAGGGATCACTAAATGCAGAAGGGAACAACCAAGAGCTCTTCTCCAAGAGCATCCCAGGGAAACAGCATGACAACGTCTATGCAAGAGCAAATGCCAGAAAAAAATGACACATAAGAAGGTGCACAAATGCAGAGGAAGATTGGGGAGCAGTGGAGAAAAACAGAGTGGAGACATCACATGCAGTAGCTGCTGTACAGCCCTTTGCCAGAACCAGCAGGGAGAAAAGGAAAATAGCTTTGTACCAGGCAAACCAAATCTCGAGCTTCTGATGTATCAGTGATACAGGACAATAATTTAGTGTAAAACACGTAATGAAATATGCCACAGTTGCCTCAGGAGCAAACGAAGCCCCCCTCCACCCCAACCCAGAGCAGCAATTTGCAGTGAGTTTCCTGCAGCAGAAGTGGATGTTGTGGCAGCAAGACAGGGTCACGCTCCAGGCAGGCAGTGCCCTGGCAGCATCCCAGCATTCCCTTGGGATGCTGTGCACATGGAGGAGCACAGCAGGGAACCCCAACTACCAGGCAGGCAGTGGGATGGATGGCAGAAGGGTGGCTCCCAAAGACGCCTCAGCAGAGAATCACTCCAACTTCTCCAACCCCTCCAGAAATGCTGATGCAGGACTGGTTTCCAGCTGGTCTGGCTGGTTTTAACAGGGACTTGGGGGCATGTCAGAGTTCCTGAATGTCAGCCATTCATCTGACATGCCTTTACTTTGTTTGGACCATAAAGATGGCAATCTGCAGCCATTCCCTCAGGCCCATTTCACATCTCCCAGTTTCCCCACTGATGGTCCCCCCAGCCCTTCAGATGCACTGAGACACTTGCACCTCCCAGTGCAGGTCAGAGGGAAGTGGTTGATATCAGAGGTGTCTTCTCCACTCCCAGCATTAACCAGGCAAAATCAAAATGGTTCATGGTAGGATTTCAGATGATGCCACCAGAGCAGAAGACATCTGACTGCCCCCAGCCTGAGTCCCAGTAAGGACACAGAGATGCTTCAGAATCAACTGAGACCCAGCTGGTTGCAGAGGCACCAGCCTGCCCTGCTGACCAATTCAGAGGACACAACAGGGCCACGTCACTGCTAGTGGCATCCAGAGGCACCGAACCAGAGCTAGATCCTGCAGGAGTCATGGCCAAAATCTCCTCTCTATTAGAAGAAGGAAATAAGCTTATATACAACACGCTGTAGCTGAACCCAGGATCCCCCGTAAAACCTTGCTAAGTCCTGAAGGGTGATGGTCTGACCTGCATAAGGTGCCCATGCCCCAGTAAACCAGTACATCATCTGTTGCCTGAACAAAACGATACTCTGTGCCACACAGCTGCACAGGAACACCTTCAACATCTGCTCAAAGAGGCAACTGTGGTAGTGCTGAGGAACAAACTGCCCCATCCCTAAAAACTCCAGAGTGAATGGGGAACCAGCCCTGCACCAGGCTGTCTGCAGAATTCCATCACCCACAGAGAGCACTTCCTGAGCACATAACCAGGGGCACCAGCCTGCTCTAAACAGGAGAAATAGGGACAATAATCCAACAAAGAGAGAGAAACAATCCAGTGCTACCAACCCTGCACACTTCCCCTGCACAGCAATAACATATGTAAAATATGGCAACATCACATTTCGGTGTGGGTCAGGGATATCAGACCAGACAGACCACATGGCTCAGCCCAGCCCACACTTCCCACCAGGCTCAGACAGTCTGTGCTCAGAGCAGGATCCAGAGCCTGCACCACTTCTGAGCGGTGCAGTGCTGGCAGAGCTATTATTAGCACTGTGCTTCTGCTCGCTGCGGTGCCCCAGGCTCCTGTTTTAATCAAGTGCTCAGCTATGACTCCAAAATCTTTTCTAAGAGCTAATGTGGCAACTATATAACTATATCTGTATACCAGTACACTGTAGGTATAAATAACGTTTTTCCCCTGAACATCAGTTTGTGTTTATTGCTGCAGTATCATTTCCTACCCGGCACTCAGGTCCTTCCCATCCAGCTGCAGCATCTGTCAGCATCTGTCCTGCTGCTGTGAATAATCCTGCATTGCCTCTCTAGAAATCTGGCACAGATCTGAGCACCAAGCTGTGCCCAGTGACACAGACATCTTCCCAGAGACATCAGTTTGCAATCCAAGTTAGCTCCAGCTGGAGACCTCTGTGGAGCACTGAGCATGGAGATACTCATGACATTGTTGATGGAGTCCCCTCAGCCGTGACTTACCTGCTGTGGGAGGGGGCCCTGGTGTATATGGACACCAGCTGCCTCCATGGCCTCTTCACGATCCTCCAGACCCCCATGCCAGCCCTGGTGCCACTAGAGGGAGAAGAGGGGAGAGGGCTGTTCCTCCTCCCCTTCCCACTCACCCAGCACAAGTCCCCATGCCTGGGCCCCTGGTCAGATAGAGGGGCATCCTGCCACCTTCCAAGGTAGCTCCATCCCATCCCCACCCCTGAACCCCTTCTCTCTAGCCCTGGATCCAAATCTCTGCTCCCCAGTGACATGAGGGCTCCTAGTATCTGCAAGAGGACTGATGTGATCTCCTGGCACCAAGGGCTGGTGCATGTGAGATCAAAGAAGACAGGGGCTTGGTGCCAACCCACCACATGATCCCAGAGAAGAAACTCTGCCCTGAGGCTCCAGATCCCAAGGATCCTGGTTGTGGCTACCAGAATAAGAAACATCTCAATCTCTGGGTCTTACAATCCTAGATCCTCTAGGCTTTGCATAGCCCTGGTCCTCCCACAGCTACATCTCCTCACTGCCCTCTCCTTCTCTTGGGCCAGATCCAAGCCAGCCCTGAGGCTGCTGGGGACACAGTTCAGGTTCTCAAGGGTCAGGAACACAACCAGCGGTCCAAGGAAACCAGATAACAATGGATGCTCCCACCTGCCACCATCAGCAACCAACATCCAGTCACCCAGGGAGCTCAGGATCATGTGCTCAGCCAGCCTTTCTTTCTGATTTCAGATTTCCTGATTTTCTCCTCTCTTGATTTCCAGATTTCTTGATTTTCAGATTCATGGAAAGCCAAGGTCCACACAAATGAGGATGAGGAACGTCTCTTCTAGGACATAGACCAGGATCAAGAAGCAGAGGTCAGCTAGAGATACCTCCCAGGGAAGGCATTCCATCAGGATAAGGAGGAGACCTTCCCATGGGTCGAGGAAGAATTTCTCAGTATTGGAGGACTAAAGAAAACAATGGAGAGGCAGGCAATGTGGGCCATGGGATGGCTGTTTCCCAAAAAGAATGGGATCAAAGGGCCAAACAAGGAGACGTGACACCTCTCAGTAGTGTTGAATGCAGGAAGGGCAACATGGCAGCCTCAATGCAGTTGTGGTCATGACTATGCTGGCCTTTATCTCCCATCAGGGTGGCATCTCTTGCTCTGCACCTTCTGCCCAGGATCATGGACGAATTTAAGCTAGAAGAGATCAGTGGTCATCTGATCCAATTCCAGATGTAAGCAGGTTGACGTACCCACTTAGATCAAACCTTAAAGCTTTGGAGAATGGACTCACTGCTATTCATGACTTGACCCACTAACACCTGAGGGTCCTCAAAGGTACCAGATCTTTTCAGATGGGTATCAGTGGAAAAGATTCAGTGGTCTGCAAAGAACAAGAAAATCCATCCTTGGCATCTGGAGACCAACCCAGAGCTCCCCATTCACACCACATTTGGCAGATGCAGCATTCCTTAGAAATGGGAAGAGGGGATGTTAAATGATTTCACTTCCT